AAAAGCTCACTCAACCAAATACATCATCATCACCCGGGGTGGATGGGACCCGTTAACCTTGGATGGAAACCCATCTAAAAGAAGGAAACTCTAAATTCAAAACCCGGAGATAGAGTCCCGTAGGCGGATTACTTAGGCACAATAAAACTTTCCGACAACTCCTGCGACGCCAAGCTGTATTATCCACATGTTGTTGCCTTTGGTTATGCAGCGGCGTGGAGAGAGGCGATTTGCTGTTGGAAACCAGCTGATAATCCTAGAGGGAGAATCCCAGGTTTTGTGGATTTCGTCCTGCGAAATCTTCACCATCGTCATATTGTGACGAACGGATGCCAGCAAAAGTTTTAAGTAAATACACTACATCAGTGCCGCTGTTCGAAATTTCGCTTCTATGACCACATGTTACAAGAAACTAATGAATATATACAAATTTTAAATACATTTTTAAAGAAACAATTGTTTGAAAAATGACATTTTGAGATTTTAAAATACATAACACAAATTATCACATACACAATCACATGGCAAAATCACACACAATAACACACAAAATCACATACAACTCCACACAAGCAAATATACAATCCTACACATACAACCACACCCACAATCATAAACACACAATCACTCAGAATCACAAACACACAATCACAAGCAGCCAATCCCAAAACACAAAATCACACATCAAATAACACGCTCAATCATAAAAACACAATCACCTTAAAAAAATCAGACCACACAATCACGTTGGAGAGGAGATAGAAGGGAGAGGGAGAGCTATATTTAGAAACAATGTTTTGTATGCTTGAGATACTTGAACATTCATAACATTGTTTTTTTTTTTTCCAATTTCATCAACCCAGTTGTGGCTAAACAGCTCAGACGTCACAGCCTTGCTGCACGAGAGACGGGCCCAGAGGTGTAATGACGGCACATCAGTTGATCCGCCACTAGCCGAGTCATCAGACTATAATGAACCCGTCATGGGCGAAAGAACAATGTGCGCAGTCTGTGCCATGAAAGAATCCCAGGCTGCATTCGTACCCTGCGGGCACTTGATATGTTGTCCAGATTGTGCAGTGGTGCAAAGGAACTGTCCAATCTGTGCAGCTGAAATTGAGCAGTTGCTGCTTACTTTTATATCTTAGCAACGTATTTACCCCACCCTACCCCCCACGTGCCCATAAATATATATTCTTTCGTAACATATGATTAAATTGAAATGCTATGTGGAGTTTGTTAATGTATTCAAATAGCTGTGAAGGAAAATGTTTGCTAATATAGAAACATAAGTCGCATATTCATAATGAATAAGAAGAACTGTTTGGATTAGTCTGCAACTTAATCAACCTAAAGCCGATTAAGCATGACAGAAATGTTGACCCCTCTTTTACAAATGTGTTTCAAAGGAGTTTTTTGTTTCCTATTTGGACGGGTTTCAGTCCGTCCTGGTCGGCTGTCTAAACAACTGATTTCACTGTTTCAAACAATGCTATTTTGTAGGTGAGTTGCTGTAGGTCAGGCAACTCACTAATCCCGTGGAACGATGCTTGAATTTCAGATTCCAACCTATAACTGAACAATCTAAGAGTATCGTGTGACGTCCGCAAAGTTGTTTTTAGAAGAGTAGAATATAGACAAATAGATTAATTCTTTCGAAGAGAAATTTGCAAAAAATACACTATACTTGAAAAGTCTTGAATAAAAGAAATGGTTAAGTTGACAGATAATGTGGACTAAAAAAATGTCTGTGGTAAACACATCTTGTGGTAAATTGTGATATTTTTTTTCTGCAGGAGCAGGTTGTGCTAATCAAAGTTTCGAAATAAACGTAGTCGAAAATGGCCTCATTAAGAACTTACTGAGGATGACTTGTGTTTTAAGGAAAAATTTTCGGAAGGCTGATTGACCGACTTCCCGTGGCAGAAAGGTGGCGAAAAGATTCGTAGCCGATGAAAAGAAATTTCTTTCAAACTCGCAGCCCCAACCCTAATTGTCTTTTTTTCCGGATTTTACAGGGGGAGATGGATGATATACGATTTGCTCAATGCATGCGTGTTTTGGTGTGGAACATAACTGTGTAGCTGTTGCCATTTGATTTTTATTAGTGACGTAACTAGACGCTTTATTTAGTTGTATTTTTTTTTAATTAAAAAAAGTTTTTTTTTTTATTGAAAGCAATATCACACTTTCATTTGTAAATTGCCCAATTGAGTTTTTTTATTGAAATAAATTTTGCACGAGAGCATGGATGGCATGCTTAACTATGAAAAGGTTGCAACCATTCATATTTAAAAAGGTTTTAAAAAATATATATAGAAATTCATTTTGAATTTTTAGGCGCTTTGAAATCATAAAGGATTATTACATTTTCAAAGACAGAGGTAACACTGAGCAGTGTATTTCCTTTCTACTATACCCATGCAATGTAATAAATATATTGTTGAATAACATTGGATTGAACAAACATGATTAGATTACAGGTAATCTCTAAAGTTGTAATTGAATTCTAAATTCTGGTTGGGAAAAAAAGAAATTCCCTTAAATTGTTTGAAATCAAAATACATTTATTTCTTACGTTGATGGTTTCCTTAATAAAAATAAACATTTATACTTGTAAATTTTTTTTTTTTAACTCTGTAAATATTGCTGATCTTTAAAAAATGTATTTTATTTTTCACGTGCCTACTAAAAATAGAACGTTATTGTTGTTTTAAATGATTCTTATCCAACTCTGGGGAATGGAATATTGGGATAGAAGTTGTGATTTTAAGCATTGACACAATTGTTTCACAAAATCCAAATTGAATATCATGTGAAAATAACAATGGATTTACAAAAGAATTTAAGACATAACTCAAACAACATTTAAAAAAAAAATTGCAGCCAAATTTTAATATTCTGACGCTTAAATTATACATGTTAGACTTGTGGAAACCACAATTAGTGGATGGAAAGATGTGTTGGCGTATAGGTACACATAAAAGTTCGGCTAACTACATAAGAACGAAATCTCAATTTTTTAAATTCATTAATATAAATGTAAATGCACCTATTCCAGGCAGCAATAGAAATGGCAGGCCACTTGTGTACTCACCCATGCTCTTGATTCCCAACTGATGTAGTTTTATTCCATGACACCCAATTCATCTAAGCCCAGGTCTTTCTTTACGCCGTTGAAATTAGAGTGATAAAAATTATTACACAAATACCATGCTAATATAAAAGCTGTGTCAGCCAACTGTATAAGAATGTTTAACCTAGCTTTTGACATAAATCAGGGATGAAATATTTTTTTGCCTTTCAGACGCAATTATGAACTAAATCCCCTCATAATTTCACCATCTTGTATAAATTGTGTGTATTGGGGGATTACATTTGAATGTATTTCTTTTTTTAAAAAAACAACATTCATACATATTTTATGAAATTGTTAAAACAAGATACATTAATAATTATCCATTGGTTTTTTCAAACGAAATAAACGCAGTCCTACATATATTATCCTTTCATATTTAATAAATTAATAAATACTTGAGATTGCAGCATATTTTTCCAGGAAAACGAACCAAATTTTGTGCTTCAAGAAATCGGTTCCCTGAAAATCTCAAAATAATTTTGTTCGTATACATAGACGTTAAACGTCTAGCATTTGTGTATAAATCTTTAAACATATTGAGCAATGCAAACGATAGGTATGTATTTTCGTACAGTTCAGTTAGAGAAAATAAGGATATTTAATGAAAGATGATATTTTCTAAAACATCAACCATAAACGATTCCTAAATAGTAAACATGAATGACGTAACGAGTAGACGATCATCGCATTTTTAAAATGTAATTTTTTTCTTTTGGTATCGAAATAGAGTTGCGTCCAATGAAATTTTAAAGGTTTATACTTTAAAAAAGAATATATTAATTTTTTTTTTTAAAATAAGGATGGTTCTTAATCGATCTTAACAAACTAGATTTCAGGTTTTTGGTTCTAAAACAAAAAAAAAAAACTGGTTCTTAAACCAAAAAACTGGTTTAAAAACCAAAAACTGGTTGATAATTTTCACAAACCGGTTTTTGAATCTGTTAAAAATTATGACATTATCAAATCCTTTTATTTTTTTTAAATGAAAAGGGTATATGATTCATAACTGGTAGGCTTCTCGCTAATGCTTCAAATATCTGACCATTACACTATCTGAGTCGATATCAGCTGACCGATTTAAAAAAAAAAAAGGGTTGCGGCTGGATTATTTTATGAGTCTCACATAATTGTGCACCCCCATCCCTCAATTAACGAAAAGTACAATGTAAAGAAAAATACATAAAGAGACAAAGAGACCAAGGGACGGGATGGCTTTCCGTAATTTTTTATGTTGCCAAGGCCCCATGGCACGCTCCTTGCGTGTGAAATTATCAATACACTTTTTGTAAAAAAGGACCACACAAGATAGTACAAAAAAAATGTACGTCCTGCTTTAGAAGTTAGTGCTGTCTTTTCATTTCTTTACATTCAAATAAATAGCGATCAATAGAACATATAAGCTTGTAACGTTGTGAGGTGGATTAGATTATGATTTTCCAATGAAGCGTTTCAAACATGCAAACATTTCGTGAAATCCTGTTCCGATTTTCCTTAAAAAAATTATCGGGTTTGGGGTGGGGGGGGGGGGCGATCATTAATTGCAAGATTTTCTCAGAAATCGGAATGAATCATTGCAACGTATGTTATAAAAAAGCTTACCATGCAATTCAATTGTGATCGATTGGTATTGATTATTTCTTCGACATTGGAGCCAAATTCGATAGGCCATAAAATATAATTATATACAGTACTTTAGCTCGTTAAAAGTGTAGACGTATTACTTCTGTGGGGTTGGGAGGACACGAAAATGTCCATATATTTTCAAGCCTGAAGAATTCACGTTGTGAATTTATCTTTTCAGAAACTTATTGGATAGTGTGTTAATGTAATGGCAATGTACACTTAGATCAGGAAATATAACATGGAACCAGGGCTACGTGTCGTGCGTGGACTTGACTGGAAATACGGCGACCAGGATGGTGGTGAAGGTCATGTCGGTACTGTGGTAGAAATCGGCGGGCAGAGTGGATCTGCAACGCCAGAGAAGTGTGTGGCTGTGACCTGGGACTCAGGGGCCAGGAATGTATACAGGGCAGGTCGGGGGGATGATTATGATCTGCACGCATTCGACAATGGTCAATGTGGTGAGTTCTTAATGGTCAATGTGGTGAGTTCTTAATGTTCAATGTGGTGAGTTCTTAATGGTCAATGTGGTGAGTTCTTAATGGTCAATGTGGTGAGTTCTTAATGGTCATTGTGGTGAGTTTTTGTGAAGCTGTGTAAAAGTTTGTGTTTAAAAAAATAATCTAGTACCCATGGCCGATAATCTATTTATTGTAATGATTTCCCACTGTATAGATTCAAAATCTTAGATATAAATATATTTAAACGTATGACTTTGTACGTACATAAATGTATGAATGAGTCCAACAGACAGTAGGTGCGCGACACAAAGCCTCTTGCAACTATAATAACATTACGAAAGGTCAAATTTAAACTAAAAAAAACATGGCTCTTCTGCATGAAGTGATGCCGTGTCTGTCATTCCATGATTCAAATTGTAAACCCATTGATGAAGTATTCAATACCCCCCCCCCGCCCCCCCAAAAAAAATCGTCAGGCTAAAACGGAAGGATTCATAGATATAAATAGTCTAATTTTTCATATGTATCAATCACATCAATTAATTTATTGGAATAACTCATTGAAAATTATGAGGAAAAAAAAAATTATGGTACAATTTATATTATGAATTACGTTGGGTCTCGTCTTTTATTTGGACAAACGCTTTTCAAATCTTTGATTCAAAAAAAAAAAAACTAATACAAGGTTTACAGCAAAAATATTCAGATAATTTTTTACGACCACATCTCATTCTCTAAGCTGATCAACATACCTGGATCTGTGAAGTCTAATGATGAAGATGGTGACGTCGTGGTGTTGTACCCCAACGGAAGGCAGTTTACCTATAACCCTGACGCCCTGACTAAGGTATTTACCCCCAAAAAAACCACTTTATCTACAGTGAAAAAATAAATTTAAAGTTGATTTTTATATTTTAAATCAATCTAAAATTTTTTTTTTTTTTAAATTTTAATTCGCAATTACCGGCATGTCTATTCGGAAAATGATGCCCAACACTTCGATTAGTATGTGTTATTATATATTTATTTATCTTCTTTTTGGCTATCATAACAATATTTACTTATTTATTTATATATACGAATGGATGTTTATATGATACTTGATATTAAAATGAAATATATGAAAAGTGTAAATGAATGAAATACAAATGTTCAGTCATAACTGTAGTCCACGTTTTGGTTTCTGAGATCATAATGCATTCATGAATTGATAGTACAGGGCACATAGTTCAATGAAAAGGTTATTAGCAACACTAACTAATGCTTACCAAACGCTTTGCAAATTTATTTCGTTATTTTTTTTTTAATATCATAAAACAATTATTTCTTTTATTATTAAAAAATGCATTCTTTTTTTCTTTTTGCACAAACTGTGCATTTAAATATTTTATTTCAAATTAAATCTTTTCAAAATACCCCCCCCCCTTTTTTTTTCAAAACTAAGCATGTTTTAATATAAATTGTTGCATTTCTTAATTGTAAGTTAAAATGAAAACGATTTTTTTTTTGTGGCAAGACCTATCGTCAGAATTAAACCTTACAAAGAAATTATGAAAATAAAACTAAGAAAAATATGCGATTACCGGATACTTACCGGTACTTATCAGGAAACCTACTTAATTAAAAAAAGGAATATTAACAAATTTTATATAAATGTATTTAAATTTCTCATTTATCTTTGCAGGAATAAAACCCAGGCTCCAAATATCTTTCTATCTTTATGTTTAGTTTAAATATAATATTCAATTAAGTTTTTTGTTACACTTGAATTTTTTCCTTATGAACGTCTTAAACAAATCATCCTATAATTTTATTGCTGTCATTTTTAATTTTTTTTTTTTTTTTTTTTTTGCGTGTGTTTTATTTTTTCTGGTCCTACGTTTTTTTGGGTTTTTTTTTGGGTATATAAAAGTTGTTTGTAGTGTTTAGATTTTTTTTTTTTGTTGTCTTTTTTATTTTTTTTTTTTTTTTTTTTTTGCGTGTGATTCATTATTTCTGGTCCTACGTTTTTCTGGGTTTTTTTTTGGGTACATAAAAGTTGTTTGTAGTGTTTAGATTTTAAAAGTAATTCTTCGTAGCAGCAGCGGTTATGTTTGACAAAATAATTTTACTGGCTGGGTGATTAGGATGATAATTGAGATATTCTAAAAGAAATCATCAGCAAGAAATGTTGCCTGATTTTGATCTTACCACTAAAATGCAAATATAAATATCTATATTATTTTTAACAGAAATAGGAGATAAACATCATTAATATAAATGTATCATTTTTAATTTAAATATAAAAAGTTTGGAGATATAATTTTGTATTGTAGCATTGCACAATTTTTTTAAAAAATATATTAAAACTCATCAGTCAATGGGCATAGCCTGACGAACTCAATGATGTATTTTATATTATCATACAATTAACAAAAGATACAGTTTCAATCAATTAACCTTCAAAATTCTTTGTCAAATAATTTTATTTCTGATTTATATATATATATATATATATATATATATATATATATATCTTCTTCTTCTTCTTCTATATCTTAAGGGCCCACGATCAATTTATTGATCATTTTGGCTCCTATGCATGTAGATGGGATTTGCAATGTTTCTGTTACTGGTGGTGATGTTACTGGTGATTAAATAAAGATACACTTAAAATATCTAGTTTAATATATATATATATATATATATATTAAACTAGATATTTTAAGTGTATCTTTATTTAAGTAATTTGGTTTAATACATACCTTGGTTTTGCTGAATAAGTTAAGATATTATATTTGAACATTATTTAAAAAAAGGTCAGACAATACAGTGGACTCAACATGTAAATTTCAACGTTATCGAATTGTGTTTAACTAATAAATTAATAAATTGGAAGAGACTCAAAATTGTTGTTAAAAAGACTGGCTTTAATTTTAAAAGTGTAATGTAAATCAATGTACTGCTAGCTTTCCTTTATTCATTATTTATTTATTTATTTATTTAGGCATTTTTATATAGCGCTTATCATAAAGCTCTAAGCGCTTTACAATTATTAAAACATGTAAACTAAGTAAATACACATGAGACACTAGGATAGTAACTACTATTCTATAGAAACAATGAAAATGGCTATAAAACGAGGACACTTTGACACTTCAGGATCAACCCGAAACAGAAAATGAGGTAGGGCAAGGAGGGTGCATCACAGGTCATAGGCGGACCTAAACAGATGAGTTTTAAGGGACTTTTTGAAAATGGACGAGGTTTCACTATGACGTATATGGAAGGGGAGCTGGTTCCAGAACGTGGGCCCATGGAAGCAGAAGGAGCTTTATGAAAATTTATTTTTGTATCAATATATATCACGTTGGTCCAAAATTGTATAGTTTAAAAATAGAATGTTCAGAAACTCATAATTTGTTCCTCTACACGATAAAATAATCCTCTCAAAAGTTTTCAATTACAATGAATCATACTTAAGGGTTGCTCAAGTGCGTTATTTTTTTTGTCATTATTGTCTACATGCCTTTATAGGAAAACAAGTGAAAAAATTGTCATCAGTAAAATAAAATTTTGTTTTGGTGCACAATATGTGCAGAAAGAATACACGCATCTTCGGCGCCACTGGCAGTGAGTGCACTGGCATTGAGTGCACTGGCATTGAGTGCACTGGCATTGAGTGCACTGGCATTGAGTGCACTGGCATTGAGTGCACTGGCATTTCAATGGGATGGAAATATGTTTTTGAAGTTACTGGGAATAGAAAGTGTGATAGACTACTGGTCATTGTTTCAGGTTTGAGAATAAATCAACTTCTTCATGTTCCCAAGCTGCAATGCAATACTGAGGAGAGTCCCACACATCTGCTTTGTACATTGGTTGGAAGAGTAAGAGATCAAAGATAGTAGTTCAAGAAATTATGTGCGGAGAAATATATTTTAAAAGATGATAAGCAGAAGTCAATTAAATTTTCCCGACATTCAATTTAAATTCTTTGTCTTAATAAAGGCCCTGTATTATAAGCATTCTCGTGAAATGTTTCTACTATTTTCAATATTAAATTTGGTTAGAAAAGTGGGCTAAGATTTTTAAGAAGTAAACTTAACTTATTTATCCGAAGAACATATGCCCTAAATAGTTCACAGTTGTAAACGATCATTGACAAGGTTTTAACACGGGGGCCTCAAAGTCATTTTTTTTTTTTTTTTTTTCCAAAATAGAAGAACTACAGTGACAATTGTTTATAAATTAGCATCAAGAAGGCCCTGGCACATCGTAATGCTCTTGGGTCCCATTATTTTTTTCTAATGGTGATCAGATTTTTTTATGGGGGCCTCAAAGTTTTTTTTTTTTTTTTTTTTTTCCAAAATAGAAGAACTACAGTGACAATTGTTTATAAATTAGCATCAAGAAGGCCCTGGCACATCGTAATGCTCTAGGGTCCCATTATTTTTTTCTAATGGTGATCAGATTTTTTTAAACATCGATATAGACTAAATCAATTTTACAAATAGAGATTTTGGGACCCTTGTGCAGCGTCCAGGCGACCCTTGCGTTAAGACGGCATTGCACAGATGGAATGTATTGTAAATTTTCCAGGAAAACAAACACGCAAGCAATCGTATCTTCGGGAATTACAGCACTAACCTTTTGGTTGTAAATCAGAAAAAGCCAAAGATTTAATGTTTGTGAGATACATTTCAGTTGTCAGGTTTTTTTTTAACGAGAAGCAGGTTGGCATGATCATTCTAGAGTAATTAAATGACTTTCACAAGTGGTACAGTGAAGTGAACCTATTTCTTTTTTTAACTCTTAAAAATAATTTTAATTGTAAGGGAGACACGCACAAATTATGAGCATCCCGAGAAACAGCGCATATTGTCGTAATTGTGTCAAACCATTCATGAGCCTTCCTTAAGCTGGCGTGTACTAAAAGACAACATCTTAAAATTTAGCATAGGGACTGCTAGATAATTAGCATATATCTATCTTGGAAGAGGCAATGGTGGAAAGCAGTCCCAAAGTTTTTGTATGTAACATTTTGCAGCTTAGAATTTATAATAAGGAAATAACACACACAAAACCGTTATCTTTGTTATCTTTGTTTTGAACGAATAAAGGACCATACACTGTTCACACAGCTCAGTAGTTTTCCACTTATAGGAGTAGGCCGACCTGGGGCTAGGCAAGATTTAACTGCCACCTAGCCCTTTACACCATTTTCACAAAGTACCAAAAAAAAAAAAAAACCAGAATCAGAAGGCCAAAAAATGACGCCCCTCTCTCCTTATAAAGAAAAAAAGTTCCACCTCGGGGGGGGGGGCACCCTCCGCAGCCTCCTATCTAAGCAAACGGAGTGTTGAGAGTTGAGAGTTGAGAGTTGAGAGTTGAGAGTTGAGAGTTGAGAGTTGAGAGTTGAGAGTTGAGAGACATTTGTCTAGGAGGTTCATCATCATCTCAATCATTAGCAATGGTTTGAAGAAGACGAAGCATGCACGTGAAATTGTATTATTTTTTAAATGAAATTCGTGGTCCCCCAGAGATTAAATCCTGCTATTATTGGAGACGTTGAGCAGTTTCTATAGCCGCAGACAAGAAAATCCAATAGGTTCAAAAAAATGTTGTGCGGGTTAGATTTTCTGATTTCCGCAATAGAGCGTATATTGGACGCACACACATTTCTAGAAAATTTCATATTTCATTTATACAGGGGGGGGGGCTAACTTTTAAGAAAATATATGGTTCAGACCTGCGTGCGATCTGGATGGTGCACGGGTGGGAGTTGAATCCCCCAGCACGGTAACTGACCAACTGACCAAAGGTCCTAGCGTGTCAGATTGACCCGGGACGACCGTAACGATGCTGGTTTATGACCATTTGGACTGTGGGAAAATTTAAGTCCCTGAGGTGTAGGAATAAGATTAAAGCCCTGGGAAGAAATCTCTAAGGACACGTGACTTATAAAAGGAACAGTTAGACCGGACTAGAGGTGAAATCAACCAGACAGGAAAGCGAACAATCTGGGAGAGCTCTGAGAGCAAAGGACCAGTCGTGCGGACACAGTGGCCAGAGAAACGAAACGAGGGCAGACAGAGTTGAGTGAGAGAGGGAAAGAAGGTGAATTTGACATAGAAGACAGATAAAATTGTCAAAGACCATAACCATCGCCCGATTTGTCTGATTGGTGAAATACGAGTGACAGTTGGAGCTGGTGTTAACTTCCAAACAACGAGATGCAGATTGAAGGTTTAACAGAGACGCACCAAGGTTCCCTACAATATGTAGACAACAAACAACTCTATTAAGAAACGTTATCTGAAACGCCTATCATCGGTATTTCCCAGTGTTATTTAAGATAGACACTGCCGACGTCTTTACCTGTAGATCTTCAGTTCATTTGTTACTACACATTAGCTCTTACAATTGTACACACACACAATTACTCTTTGACCCGAAGGCGTATGCACTGGATGACAATATTTATAAATTATTGGAAATCGGCGTTCTGAAGCATTACGGCTCGCAAATAGCTGTGTGATCGTGTGTCCATGTGTGTCACTGTGCATATAGATTCGTTCACGCATCACATAAGGAAAGCATAACATGGAACCTGGGCTCCGAGTTGTCCGTGGACCTGACTGGAGTTACGGCGACCAGGACGGCGGCGAAGGTCATGTCGGTACTGTGGTAGAAATCGGCGGGCAGCGTGGATCCGGACCTCCAGAGAAGTGTGTGGCTGTGACCTGGGACTCAGGGGTCAGGAAAATCTACAGGGCAGGTCACCAGAACGCTTATGATCTGTTAGCATTTGATAATGGCCAATGTGGTGAGCTATATATTTTTTTAAAGGGGGCGTCAAATTAATTACGTCTACAAAATAGCGGGAGTCGGTTTGGGAAATGTTTGACAGCTGTGGACAAGGGTGAGGGAATGGGGTTTAGATGAGTTGACGTCAACAATCATGGAGATAGAGAGAGCTAATGGCAATTATTGCTAACACCGATAATGCTTTTTTGGTTATAGTGCTGAAGGATTATATAACGATGATGTTGACGTGTCTGGTATATCGGCTCCGCATGAGGAAAGAGATAAATCACCTACCATGGACTGTGTCATTCAGGGGCGATATTTCAGGTTATTTCAAGGGGGGAAAGGGGGGGGGCAAAACCAAAATTGGTCGGCTTGTTAAGTTGTTAATTACTGGAGGCGCAACAGTATATAGCCATTTAAAAAATGCCTGCAAATTAGTGGGGGTGGGGGTGGAGGGGTAAAAGCCCCTCTGCCCTACGAAAATGATGACCCTGATGCCCAAAAATTACGATAGAGCTAACCTAGCTACTCCTTTGGAAGATGCTAGCAGCTAGAAACTGTGCTATAATTGTCAGATTTACTGACGATAATCCTATTTATACCACAAGCAATGATAACTAGTCTTTAACAAACTTTTAATTGATTCTGTATTATAAAATTCAAGTGTTAAAACATTTTAACCTGTTGATTAACCAGCTAAAGATGCAATAATTTTTTTTTACTACAATTTGTGTCTTTAACGAAATAGATCAGCACAAAGTAAACTGTATATTTAAGTATAATATAATTTCCTTTTTTTTTTGCGGGGGGGGGGGGGGGTAAAATGTTGTCATAATTAAATAGGGGAGTCATTGAAAGTTTGACAGCTGTAGACAATGGGGTCAAAGTTGCTTTAAAAACTTGATTACGTCATTAATGATCGAACCCCAAAGAAGACACCACTGGAAGTTCCCATCCCCCTACAAATACAGAGTTGAAAAAAAGGATTTCAAAATTTCAAACTGATCTTTTTGTCATTTCGCTATGTTGGCATTTATGTAAAGAATTATTTTCTTTAAAACTTTATTTGATATATCTTAACAAGAAATTTGACTTATTTTGTGTGTACTTACGTATCACACTTTTTTTTTACAACTTTTCAACTTTTCAAATCAAATTAATGCAATATTTGAACTGGCTCATGTAACATAAATGGTTGAAGGTGTTCAGTTACCTTTTTATAAGGTGTGTTCCACCCTTCAACCAACTGCGATGGCTGCCAGGAACGAGGGATCGAGGGCTTCCGCTGGAAGTGCTCGGTGTGCGATGATTTCGACCTGTGCACGTCTTGCTACATGTCGGACAAGCATAAAACCGCCCATTCTTTCATCAGACACGACACACGCTCGTCCGATGGGTAAGACGAAGCTGCAGAGCAGATTCTGAACTTTAACCTTTTTAGAAGTGATGTTCATTAGATCCTTTTATTTTTTTAATTAACTGAACGAAGTGTTAAAACAGAACAAGTGGTTGATAATATTTTATTATAAGATGCGTATTACTATCGCTTAACTAAAAATGTTATGTTTTGTTAACTTTTGTTTTACTAAAATCGATAATGGTCACGTGCTCCTAAATTGAGACAGGGGGTCTCAACAGTTTAAGTGTGATGCAGCAAAGATTCTGTTAAACAAATTGACAATTGGATTTTTTTTTATATATCGTTCAATTTAATGCTCAGGATAGACATATGAACTCTAAATTATTTTTTTAAACCATTTCCAATTCGTAGACAATATAAAAAAAAGTTATTTTTAAGACCATACCTATTATTGGTATCATGGTAAATTGAAAATAAAAATGTAATTAAAACATTAAATTTAGTGAACGAATAACCGAAATTTTAAATATAAGACATGGGATGGTTTCTTCAATTAATTGTTTAAAACTTAACATCATTTTCTGCGCAAATATTTCATTAAACATGTGCAGTTTAATTATTCATTAGCAATGCATGGCAATAATCGGACAGATGGCAATATTGGAAGGTACATATAGACGAACTAAACACCTTTTACGTCATACGCTGGCTATTTCCAGTTAGCACATAATTGCTACACTAGTAAGTACACCATTTAAGACGATCTCACATACGTGATTGCAGTGTAGGTGTTCCCGCGAGAAGTAACTGTAAGAACGAGAAACGTTCAGCGAAAGGGATTTTCAAAGACGCCACTGTTGCCCGAGGACCGGACTGGAGGTGGGATAATCAAGATGGTATGTTTATTTCTTCTAAAGGAAAACTAATAATAATTGTAAAAACATGAATCTATTACCAACAAGTAAACAATCCTAAAAATCTATTAAAATGCTCACTTTAAGGAATAAAATGTAAAAAAAAACAACAAAAAAAGCAAATGAGCAAAATTAATTTTACAAACCGTTCGAATTGAAAAGGTTATATATAGATATATGTAGTTTTATATTGTTTCGTCTGTTCTTAAATGTGGTAAATTTTAGATTGTTTTTATTTCTCTTTTTAATATGGTTGACTTTGTACCGCGCTTCGAGCTCTTGGGGATTCTTTTATGGCCTTTTTTTTTATTGCATTGTACATTTTCAGCACAAAAATGTAAAAAAAATTGAACAAGACATCTATAGTTAAGTATTTCACTTGTTGAAAAAAAAAAGCCATTCGTGAATTCAGGGACTTTAACCATTCTCATTAAGATTTGTGACTTAAGGGGGAGCACGCTGGTAAATTCTTACATATTTTCTTGATTTCGGTATTTATTACGTTGTTAATGTTGCGAAATTAAATTTAAATGTATATTATCCAAATTTCAATGTCTTCAAAGAATATCAAATTTAAAACTTCCGATGAACTAAAAAACAATTAAATTACAGTTAACATGTAATCAGTTTAACTTAAATTTTTATTCCAAAAAAGTACTTTTATCAATTTTCTAAAGTAATAAAAACTTACATTTTAAAAGTTTTTTTAATATAATAATGCGCCGTTTAAGACATTAAGTAAAACTAAATTTCATAGCTGAATACATCTCACTAAATCAATTACCACACATCCAAACAAAAGGGAACAATATGACGTTGCCATTGGTTTATTTTGATTTCAACATCCCGAATCCCAATTATGTTACAGATTTGAACTTTACTATAGATTTTAATTTAATAGAAATAAAAATAATTTTTTTGGAAAACACAAAATTGTGCTTATAAAATTATTGCTAGTTTTTAAAATGGAAATATAAAACAATGCAATAATAAAAGGGATCTGTGCGGTTATAGGTCTAATTAAAAATTCCGTATATTTTAAGTATAGGGTGTGTAAAGAATGTGTGGTTGCGTAAGAATAGCTCTTAACAAACAAAAGACAGTTCATGGACTTTGGAGATTTTTATGATGCTAAGAATAGCTCTTAACAAACAAAAGACAGTTCATGGACTTTGAAGATTTTTATGATGCTAAGAATAGCTCTTAACAAACAAAAGACAGTTCATGGACTTTGGAGATTTTTATGATGCTAAGAATAGCTCTTAACAAACAAAAGACAGTTCATGGACTTTGGAGATTTTTATGATGCTAAGAATAGCTCTTAACAAACAAAAGACAGTTCATGGACTTTGGAGATTTTTATGATGCTAAGAATAGCTCTTAACAAACAAAAGACAGTTAAATAAGTGACAATTGTTTAAGAGATCGTTCTTGAAATGTAATAATAATTTTTTTAAATGGTTTTGTGATAATATATTTTGGTAGCGAGACAGAATTTTTACCGTTTTAAAGGAAGACACCAATAGATGTCATTCAAAATCAGTTAATGGCACATACATTTAAATTAATTCATAGATTTCTTTAACTTTTTTTAGCATAATTTTTTTTTTTAAAGTATAGACACTTTTTTTTCTTTGCAGTGGTTAGGGGGGGGGTAGGCCTCTGTTATGTAGAGGAGAAAAAATATGATCAACGCGAAATGATGTTAGAAACGTAAACATAATTATAGAGATGTTTCTTTAAACATAACATGGGTCCGATTTACTGGAACCGTACAATTCATTACAAGAATGTTCACAATTACAAATCACAGTCAAGAAGTCAACAGTGATTCATACCGCACAATTATACGACGAAAGTCTTGCTACGGAGTAATTTTAAGGAACAACGAAATTCTCAAACACGTATTTTCAAGACTGAGAAACTTATGCCAGATGAAGAGTGAAAAAAACAATTTCTATTAATTTGGAACAATAAAATATTTTTTTGTTGTTATCTTGTCTTACAAAGACGTTAACAATTGTCGTGCTTTATTTTCTTGAGGATACAATACATCAAAAACCCCACTCTGTTACGATCGTAAAAGTTGGATTTTTATATGTTGATACCTCGCAATAGCAGGTAGCCAAGTAGCAATCCATTTCTTCAATTATAACCACGGTAACATTGGGTAATCTCTTCTAGTATGTTATGTTAATTGTTGTCCAATGTGTGTCTCCAAAGATTAAGTTGAGTGTAACAGATCTATTTTTGGAATGGTTTACAGAAAAAAAATATGTATTTTTTTAAATGAAAAAAAAAAGTAATTACTAATTTGTCCACTAAATCCCATTCCTACTCCACGTAATTCTATAACAAGGAGGCGATGGCAAAACTGGTCGGGTAGTGAACATTTCAAATTGGAACAGATGCTTCCGGGGCGAAATCTCAGTCGCATGGAGCGCTGGTTCCGGTTACACGTACCGCCTGGGACCGGACGGCAAAGTTGACCTGAAATGTGTTGTGCCAACCAGTGGAGGAAACTACTACAAGAGTCATCTCCCCGTCGTTGGTACAGAAATGTTCTTAGAAAATAAACATTTGGATCGTCACAGATATTTAAACAATTTTTTTTTTTTTAAATTTAATTTTAATGTGTTTGTACATTTTGTTTGTGTTTTTAATATTGTTTTTTTTTTAATTCAATGTATTGAATTAATATATATATATGTATATATATATATATATATTAATTACAACCCTAAACGGCAAAACTGATATTTGTTTAATTAATGAACATTATTTTAACCTGGGCTGGCCTTAAAAAAAACAGAAACAAATTTGAAACTGTTAACTAAAGACTGAAGACAATTAAGTAGGTATTTTAGTTGTAAGGTTTTCTATTTTATCCAGTTTACTTTTATATGTTTCCACAGGAAAAATGAAAGTTGAAACAATAGAGGATGAGCGGGCTGAAAATTTCCTTCGATATTTTCAAAGAGCCGCCTTGGGGCAGTTGCTGCTGAGACCACTTGTGGATATGCTGGGGGAAGGGGTGGGTAGATCTGTGAATATGCTGGGAGAAGGGGTGGGTAGATCTGTGAATATGCTGGGAGAAGGGGTGGGTAGATCTGTGGATATGCTGGGGGAAGGGGTGGGTAGATCTGTGGATATGCTGGGGGAGGGGGTGGTTAGATGTGTGGTTATGCTGGGGGAAGGGGTGGGTAGATCTGTGGATATGCTGGGGGAAGGGGTGGTTAGATCTGTGGTTATGCTGGGGGAAGGGGTGGGTAGATCTGTGGATATGGGAGGGGGGACACGGTTAGTGGGGCTGTAAACATTCTGGGAGCAGGTGTGTGTGTGTGGCATTGTGGATTTCCTTGGGGCAGGGGTGGGAGAAATTGGGGACATCCTGGGGATACGGATGGGTAATAGATTTGTTGATGTGATGGTGCCTAACGCTGGGTATGATAATATAGAAAAATGAAAACTTTTTTTTTTGTCACACAAATTATCATCATTTTACGCAGTACTCAGCGTATTTATAATTTAATTTGCTGATAAAAGTGCACATTTGATTTTCCTTAAGGATATTTTAAAACAATAAACATTCCATAAAATAGATATTAAATCTAATTAACATAAATCAGTTGATTGCGTGAAATTATCTGCGTGTATTTTTTTTTTTTACGATTCGTTGCATATATTTTCCTGCGTAAGTACAATTTTTTTTTTTAAATTACACTAAATTGCAAACCCACCTTACACAAAAAAAAGAGAAAAAGCAATTAACAAAGGGAAAATTAATTTCAAATACATCGCGTGCAGATAATCATTTCGAAAATGGTTCCTTTAAATTCCCATGTTATCTGATGTGTACGCTTTCTTTCTGCAATACTTTAATAGCTTATAGTCTTGTGACCTTAGCCCGTGAGGTGAAACAAAGAACACAGAAGAGGTGTAACAAAACATTAAATAAAATAGATTTTAAAATTAGATGTAAGTGAAACTAAAGACTTAAAACTGCACATTACAGATATCGGAAATGATGAGCTCAAAAACTCCAGAGTACGGAGTCGGATTTCGTGTGGTCCGTGGGCCAGATTGGAAATGGGAGAACCAAGATGGCGGTGAAGGGTTTTTGGGGACGATCACGGAGATTGGTGGACCGGGTTTGACGCAGCCTCCGATCAACTGCGTCAGGGTCATTTGGGACGACGGTTCCAAAAACTTGTACAGGGCTGGACACGAGGAAAAGTTTGACTTACGTGTTTACGAAATCGGTGTAGATGGTATGAATTTTTTTTTTTACATTAATTAAAGACAATATTTTTATGCCCGGGGTTCTGAGGACAATTTAAAAGGTTTATTGTAAAAATAAAGCAAGGAATAAAAAATATGAGAACTACAGCAATGATTTAAAGCATATATTCAATATGTCATAGAAGAACTTTTTTTGAGTAGATTTTATTGAATTGTTTTCTAATATTCTATACTACCTAGATCGTGTCAAATTGTTTTCAAATACGTTATACTACGCAGATCGTATCAAAATTGTCCTCAAATAATTTATACTACCCAGATCGCATCAAATTGTCTTCAAATATGTTATACTACCCAGAGCAATGTATAATTCATTCAAATAATTTATATTACCTAGATGGTATCAAATTGTCTTCAAATATTTTATACTACCTAGCACATAAAATTACGTCAAATAATTTATAATCACAGAATGACATTTTTTTTTGACGAGTACATTGTCTGGTTGATATATTTTTTGGCTATTTATTGCACACGCAATAGGAACGCAACATGAGTCTGTGAAGTGTGACGGTTGTAACGTCAAAGCCATCCGAGGAATCCGATGGAAGTGCTCCGAATGTCAGAATTCAAATCTCTGTTCGCAGTGCTACAGCAACGATAAGCACGACGTCAACCACCAGTTTCTTCGCTACGACAGTCCTGAGGCGAAAAAGTAAAATATGTCATTTCAAACAATTTTATTGAATTAATATGATGCTTTGTTTAAATGGCTCTGAAAGGAAAACACTCCAAGAGATGTATATATAAACTCTAGAATCAAAAACATTCTTAAAAATTTCTATTAGGAAAAAAATTAATAATTAAACAACCATGCATCAAGTTTACCAACGACATAGACATGAATTTAATGTAACTAAATCTTTATCTTCATATAGTAAGATTTTTTTGAAACCAATATATATATAAATATATATATATTTATGAGGTTTTTTTTAGATAATGAACTTAATTAATACAAAAAGGTAATTAAAACAACAAAAAGAAAACGTTGCAAATTAATTTTTTTCTTCCTGAAAATGAAATAAAATCAAACAATATATCAATAAAATACCTTCGTTTAATTTTTTAATTTCTAAAATTTTTTTTTTTTTTTGTTTAAAGTGTTGAATGAGAAATCCATTCAGATTTTTTTTGTTCACTCCAGGGCTAAATGTTTAATTTCAGAATTTTCAAACTACCCAAACGTTCAGAGAGTAAAAAGGTGCAAGCTATGGGCATCTTTCCTGGGGCATCAGTTTGTCGAGGAAGTGACTGGAAATGGGGTGGTCAAGATGGTAGGGGAGATGGTTTAATGAGACCTTGCTCTTAATTTATACAAACTCAGTTTAATCTTTAGGTGACCATTTAAGTTTATTTATTCAGGCATTTTTATATAGCGCTTTACAATTATTAAAAACATGTAGACTATTTAAACTGCTAACGTAAAATAAAAGTGAAAAACCAGAGACACTAGAATATTAACAACTATATGCGAAATTACCAAAGAAACAGTAGCTTAAACATTAAAATGGCTATAGAATCGAGTACACTTTGGCACGTTTTGGCTTATACTACAGGATCAACCCAAGACAGAAAAAGAGGCAGGGCAAGGAGGGTGCAATCACATTAGTCTTGTTTTTTTTTTTGTTTTTTTTAAATGGCTGTTTTTAAACAAACAATAACATAAATTAACAAAATAAACTTTTATTTAAAAAAAAAATATTTTGATTATTTACCAAGGTGGTGAGGGAAGCGTCGGTCGTGTCCTCTCCTTAGAAGATACCGGAAATTCCTCCTACAGAAGTTCAGCCTCTGTCCAGTGGCCGTCCGGGTCTAAAAATGTTTACCGTCTTGGGCACAGGGGAAACGTTGATCTGAAATGTACGAAGCCGACACCTGGAGGATTTTACTACAGAATTCACATGCCCATATTTGGTAATTGAAAGAAAATTGCGTTTCCTTTTTAAATACAAAAGTGCAAAATACAATTACAATAATACAAATACAAGTACAAACCAAAATACAAGAACAAACCAAAATACAATTTCAATACAAATAATTTTAAAACATATAAAAATATATATAAATACTGACCTGTTGAAATTACTAAATTTGTATTAAATGAGAAAAAAATCCTGATTTCACTATTCCGGACGTGGCACTATCCGGACTTGTAGATCAGTACGCAGGAGGGCACTTATTTGGTAGCTCAAGAGACAACATTTAAAATGTTTCTTTTCATTATAAAATAGTTTAAACATTACTATCATTATTTGATGTCCGCTATTCAAAACTCGTATTTGTATTTAAAAAAAAATAAAAAATTTAAACTTTATATTTTTAATTAAATTTCAAGGCAATAAAACGAGAAAAAATGATTCAAATATTAAAAGGAACGCAACTAAATATATCGTTTTAAAAAGCAACACTCCAAAAAAAAATAAATAATGGAATTGAAAAGCCCCCTTAACGGGGACATTGCTGCATATTTTCAACACAAAAATACAACACGCGAAGCCAAACCTTCTTTCTCGTACCGTTAGTTTCAGACAGACATAAAACGAGAATTATGTATTTTTAAAAAAATTTTCTTTTATTAAATTTAGTGTGTCAATGATTACGCGCTGGTCGCAATTAATCTGGATAACCAAGTACCTACTTAATTTTTCGTCAAGTGTGTTAAAAGCAGGTCCGAAGTAACACAGTTGGGAAATCACGTGAAACCTAAGCACCCCACATTAAAAAAAAAAAACCAAAACAATCAGGACAATACAAAAATCAAACAGTACTAGCAACACCAAAAAAGAGATATGACTAAACGTTGCATGCATAATTTGTAACTCTCTACCTATAGAAATCAAATATGTTTAAGGACGCAACCGACTATTTATATACTGCATTATTCTGTTAGGATAAAAAAAGCTGGCCTTTGAACATTGTACTATAAATATATTTAAAGAGCTTGAAAAAAATCCGCCAAACAATGGCGGCGGGCGATGCATGGACTTCCCCTCGGCTAAAGTTACTTGACAAAACATACAGTCCAGAAACGCACTTTATGAGAATCCGGGCTAGTGTTTTACCGGGGAAGTTTATTTTGCATGCGTATTGAACATGGCGTTACAGCCGTAGATAGATGTCTCGACCATTTCATTTGTCATTCACGTGGGTCTCAGGGTTGTCAACTCAATAAAAATAACATTTACTGACAAATAAAAGAACTCTCAACAAAATTTACGGACAAATACAATTTTTTACGGACACATCTATATATATATTAAGTCAATTTTTAAAAAACAGATACTATTTTTATATTTATGTCGTCATAATTTATGCGTAATTCTGACGTAACGACTAACGGTCTGTCTAAACAAGTCCAACTTGCCGCGATGCATCTCGCCGCGCGAGCCTAGCTGTCCAGAAAGCTCTTACAGTTTATTAATAGAGTGCGGGATTCCACTAAAACAATTTAAAAATTAAAATTTAAATCAAGAAACTAGATATCACAAACATGATTTACTGGGTCTTTTTAACGTTAAGATTCCACGTTTAGTCGATTTTTTTTACGGACGTCTTAATTTTTTAACGGAATTTTACGGACAGGCAATTTTACGACAAACCTATACGGACCGTCCGTAAATTTACGGATGGTTGGCACCCTGGTGGGTCTACAATTTTAAAATAGAAACCTGGCATGTTTCTATATTTGAAGTCAGAATTTATTTTTCTGTCAATGCCAGGCAAGGAACAGCCGCCTGAGAAAGCGGGTCGATTTAAAGTCGGTGACCAGGTCAAGTGTTCAGTTGATGCCCTAAAGCTAAGGAGTCTACAGCTCGGACACGGAGGCTTCTCTATGGACATGGTTCCGGTAATTAAAAAAAACAAAAACCAGTTAAAATAATGTTCTAGTATTGAAAATTTATTAACTTGTATCTTCCCTTCTATCTCTCGTTATCTATTTTGTTTTCTTCATATCTCTAACATTTTTTTAATTTTTCCGTCTCACAATCGATCTAATTGATTATTTAAGTTGCTCTATCGATTTCTCTAACTTATTTCCTACATTCTTTTAGTCTGTCCTTTTCATTTGAATTTTATCTTATATTTTAAAAATACTCAAACACATCGCCCCTTTTTTAACAATTAGGGAATTTTAAATGATAATAAGAATTTAAAAAAAAATCATAAAAAATGCAATTACAATTTCGGAAAGTTGTCTTAATCCACTTGTATCTCCACACTAATCGTAAATCTTCAAACGCATACTATCGCTTTGGAAAGAAGTGCATGTTTGCAGCGAATTGAAACTTTGATTTGTACACTTTAAGACAACACAATGAACATAAAGGTTTCGATACATACCTTAATCAGTCTTTAGTGGGTCACAATGGGTTTTGGTATTTCTTATGACACACTGTCATTGGTGTTATTCTATTTAAACTCGTATTTTTGTTATTATTTTATTGAAATATGTTAATTTTATTCTAAATTTGTGAAATTGTTTTTTTTAAAAAAATGAAATTATTTGTGTTTTTTTTTAAAGGGTCATTCATTAAACAAAAAATAATTACGTAACGATGCCATATTTCACTACCATAATCATAGAAAAATTAAATGATGTCTTGGGTTATTTATATACATTTCGTTTGACCAAGCTGATCAACATCCCCGGATCGGTGAAGTCTATTGACGACGATGGTGACGTCGTTGTTGTATACCCCAACGGAAAGCAGTTTATATATCACCCCGACGGCCTGACTAAGGTAATGTACATTACGAACGAAACGTACTATTTTTAAAATCTTGTTAAAAAAACCAAACAACTATCGGCATCTAAAAAGGTGTATTCATGTATTTTGTATTTTAAAACTCAAATTGACCACAACTGGTTATCGGAAAACAACTTTTAGCACCATGATTTTACCGTGCGTTGTAAAGATTTAATATACAATACCTTTTGTGTGTTTTTTTTAATAACAAATAAAATTTTAAATAAAATGAAATAAGAGAAATTATTTGCACATTAAATATTTATTTTTGTTTGTTAAGAAATGAGCGACACATATCTTGTTTTTTTTTAAAAAAAAGAATATAGTCATCATGCATAATAAATAATACAAAATCTATAGTTCAATAAATCGATCACTCGTCTCAATACTGTTTACATCGACATTTGTAACAGCCTTTTCTTATTGTACGATAAAACTTGTGTTGTTCATTCTTTAAAGTAACATGGACATTTTTAAAAAGAATCTGGCCGCGTGTTAGTGTAAACGCGTTTTCTGTAGTTCATCAAAGTCTTTATATTGAATTGGCCTCTGTTCTCGTGGGTTTGTGTGGCGAAATCTTCGGAAGCCAAATTGACCCATTTCCCGTCATTACTATCAAGCTGAAACTGATAGACTCGATGCCGATGACAACAACTGCTTTCACATTTTCAGCTCCACTTCCCACCCCAAACCCCAAAGAATCAGAATGTCCAGTTTTCCCCCCACAAAAAATGATGGGGCGTTGAAATCTTAATCTTATTTTTTCAATGGATACTTGTTTTGGCATGGAGATAATGGTTTGCCCGTTGCTATAGACTTTGTATTTGTTACGCATTTGGGTATAAAGCCAAAAATCAAATGTTTTTTTTCAAAGGGGAAAGGGGAAGGAATTATGAAAGTTGTTTTTACCAGACGTTTACCGCTCCTTAATAAATTGAAAAAAATCACGTAGAGTTACATAAATGGAAACAGAAAGTCATACAAATGATTTATTGGAAAATCTTTGGTTTTTTTGGGTTTGTTTTAAAATTGTTTAAATTAATTTGTTTAAATTTTTAGATTTAATTTGTTCAAGTGTCTGACGCTTTATCTGCTTTATTTAAGCTCAAGAGTAAACACATCTTATTTAATTATTTTTGTTCTGTTGAAAATCTTCCTCTAGGGATAAAATTAACCCAAATCTGAATATATCAATAATAGTGTAATTTTGCCTTTAACTTTGCCTTTGCAGGAATAAATTAAAGGCTGGAGATACCTTACAGACACAACCGTTTAATGTATCAAGTGATATTTTGCTAATGATTGTATCGAATACAACTATTTGCTTCAATACATGCTCTAATTTACAGATTTTAAGTTAGGATTCGTTGTTTCTGAATTCTAGTTGCATTCGCTCACTGTTCGATGATTCGAACGTTCGAAGATTTTCTTGTTAGCATTTATGTTTAGAGAAATATATATTTATTTGGAGCATGTGGGAAGAGTTTAAACATAAATAAATTCGTTATTATGGATCATTTAGGAGCAGTGAAATCATGCTATGGTCCAGTCTTGTTTTACGAAAACATTTAATATAGTATCTATCTTAAAAACTAAATCTCCGATTCCATTTAGCTCGTATACAAAAAACCAAACAAAAAAAAACAACAACAACACAAAATAAAAAAGGAAAAAACAACAACATAATAGCTTCTATAGTTGTGTGTCAAATTTAGATGGGGATCACCATGAACCATGCATATCTTGTTAACTCTATAAAATTATTGAAATAATTATTGCTGATTACAGTCAATAACGTTTCGTTCAGTAAGAATTTTCTAGAACTGAGAGGTTGGCGTCAATGAATTAATAGTGTGTGGAGTAGGGGTAGGTTTAGGTTGGGGAAATATGAGGTTCAGGCAGAGGCGTAGCGAGGGGAGGGCATGGGGGACACATGTCCCCGGGCGCTAGCTAGTTCGGGGCGCCAAAATGTGCTTTGTTATGAAAATAATGGGTGTGAGAGTTGAAAAAAAGAAAAAAGGGGCGCTATAAAATAAATATAATCCCCGGGCGCTAAACTTGTCCCCGGGCACCAAACACCCTCGCTACGCCGCTGGGTTCAGGTGAGAGGCTAGAAGGGGTTCAGGTAAGAGGTAATATGGGTTTCAGATGAGAGGATTTAGGGGGGTTCTTTTGGCAGGATCTAGGGGATTAAGGCTTTTGTGGGTTTTAGTGAGAGGCTACCGGAGGTTCAGTTGAGAGTTTATAAAGGGTTTAGGTAAAAGGCTACCGGAGGTTCAGTTGAGAGTTTATAAAGGGTTTAGGTGAAAGGCTACCGGAGGTTCAGTTGAGAGTTTATAAAGGGTTTAGGTGAAAGGCTACCGGAGGTTCAATTGAGAGTTTATAAAGGGTTTAGGTGAAAGGCTACCGGAGGTTCAGTTGAGCGTTTATAAAGGGTTTAGGTGAAAGGCTACCGGAGGTTCAGTTGAGGGTTTATAAAGTGTTTAGGTGAGAGGCTATAGGGGTTTAGAAGAAGGTAAAAGAGATTTGTGTTATCAGAGAGAGACAGGTGGTTCGAATAATAATGAGCTGGAATGATAAGGCCATAAGAAGTGAGATAGAGCTGGGGCAACATCCTTGCGGTCAACCCAAAGCCCAAATCCACAACAACTTTAACTGTGCCCTAAACAATGAGAAAGATATATAAATTATAGCTGCTAATTATCTTTTTTTGACCTGTTAATGGAGTAGGTGCAATTCAATGCTTAAATAATCTCTGTCTTTCAACATTGATGTTCATACATATTGTGTTTCAATTGTTTACGACATATGGATGGAGCTACGAACGCTTTAATTATGGTGTACAAAAATGTGTCCATGGCGCATCAATAACAGTATAGGACCTATATATATATATATATATATATATATATATATATATATATATATATATATATTTTTTTTTTGTGTACAAAAATGTGTCCATGGCGCATCAATAACAGTATAGGACCTATATATATATATATATATATATATATATATATATATATATATATATATATTTTTTTTTATTGTAAATATTATATCAATATTTTTTTTTATAAATATTTTTTTTTTTATTTATATATATATATATATATATATATATATATATATATATATATATATATATAATTTTTTTTAGTGTAAAGATTGTAACACTAATTTTTTTTACAAATAATTTTTACTTTATTGAGATTTATACATATAATATTCAGAGCTTTACAAGATTTTGCTTAATATGATTTATTAAAACTGCCGGTGCCATGTTACACAATAACATTTCTCTTCTTCTTCTCTATATTAAGGACAACATCCTTAACATATTGTGTACATTTAATATATATATATTTATTTTCTAAAACAACGAAATAAAAATTTTAATGACTTGTCGATTTTTTAAATTGTATCTCTTTTAGTTTTATAGCTATTATTTCTAGAAATAAAGCTTTTTTAAAAGAAAAAAAAATCATGTTTATTAATTCAATTGTATTTTTTACAATTATTTCGCATATTTCGCTTTATTGATTGATTTGACTCTGGAAAATTTAGACCTTATCTGTTTGAGACTGGGATGATTGGGTATTATTCTTTTTACTTCAACGGAAAAATAAGTTTTAAATATTTATTTAAATAAATACATTTGAAAACTCTTTTTAAAAAGTTGTGTAATTTTTATTTTTATACCATTACTGCATTTGAGAAAAAATGTGGGTTGAGTTTACCTTTTGGTATGTAATAGCATTTTAGCAATGGTAGAAAAAAAAATTGAAAACATATTAGTTCGAAAATAGCTGACATTTTCCAAGATGTATGGAAGAGTAATCTGAAATAAAAAAAATGTGCTTTGGATATCTCAGTACGCAAACCTATTGATATGTACCTCCACAAAACTAAAATTAAATACCAAGCAAAACTCTGGTCAGATGATATACACAATAATTACAACAAGTTCAACCTAAATTTTTTTTTTTTTAATGATAAAATAAATATAAAATTTAAAAAAAAAAAAAACAAGAAACAAACAAAAAAACGTTTTCCATTACTAGAGTTGAGTAAGTTACCAAAACATTAATTGGTCTAGTGTGTGCAAAATTATGATTGACGAGCCCCCTTTGGTTATTTTGGAATTGCTTCCAGTTCACACCTGTTCTTGTGACTTCTTAGCTCACGCACGTCAGGTACAGACATGCAGCTCACGTAACAGAATCAAGGAATCCACTGCTTTAATCTTTAATGAAAAGTCGTTGACCACCTGGTGCAGACGTACTTATTATTTTTTTTCGTTGCCTCACTCTTTTCTTCCTAGCCGTCACCAGCAGCTCTCAATGTAGTTCAATAGTACCAAGCTAACAACCCCAATCTCTTAATGTCACAGATAGGAAGGTATCGGCGATAAATAATACGGGAATTATTAAATATTTAATATACAGAGCATTTTGAACTTGGAGAAAACTGGCCAATCAGAGAAGGAGAGCGAAGAGTCACTAGATGGAAGGGAAATAATATGTTGTTTTTTTTAATTCACGAAGATATACGAAGTTTGAACAGTTCATAATGTGTTGATACATTATGAAGTTGAAGAATTAAAAAAGATTATCCTGAGATGCTTGTAACTGAAGTATTGAGATTAACATTATATAAGTTCCAAGTATGCTCGGATTTCCATTGAGATATATTTCGATTTGCGAAGGCGAATAATAAATTAGGCACTATTATTATTGTTTAACCCCTTTGCCTCTGTTGTGATTGATGACGAGATTGTGATTGTGACACGGGACTACAATCGATTTCTGGTGGCAGCGTGTTTTAGAGCACTACACTAAATACATAGGAAAGTGTTCAAACGAAGATGATGAGGACATAATTAGATCTATTGAAAGCTACAACTGTTGGGTAATGCGAAGAGACAGCACCGTGACGTCACTTCAGTGGCGTAGCGAGGGTGTTTGGCGCCCGGGGACAAGATTCGCGCCCGGGGACAAGATCCATTTTTAGCGCCCCTTTTTCTTTTTTTTTCAACTCTCGAACCTATTATTTTCATCAATAAAATAATATCAAAGCACATTTTGGCGCCCCTAACTAGCTGGCGCCCGGGGACATCTTCCCCCCTGCCCCCACCACGCTACGCCTCTGCGTCACTTGGATGTTTTGTTAAGCTGCTGTTTTTGGATTCACTCCCCCCCTTTTTTGTTGTTGATAGAGTTACATTTTCTACTACTGATGGAACTTCAGCCAATCCTTCGGGAACAACTGATGAACTCTTAATTGTAAACTCTTCTGTTAACTACAAAAACAAATTGTTAAAGAAATGCAAAAATGGTCAAACTTAATCAAACTGATATTTGAAAGGTTTCCTTTGTCGTCTTCACATCAACCACTGTTTCATTAAAATTTCAGAATTATCAGGTATTACATCTGGAATATTAAGTATTGTCAATGGTGTTATAGGTTTATCCATGACAACAGCCTGTATTATCCCCGACATGAAAGGTGTATCTACATGAATAATTTCTGTCCTACATAATATAATTTGTCCAGCTCCTAACTTAATGCTTTCTTGATTCTGTGAATTGATCTGGTTTCACTAATGATCAGTCAAAAACAATTGTTGAGCACCTAGTGTCTCTGAGATGTATTGTTTCTTTTTCATTAACATAAGCTGGATAAAAAAACTTAATTGTCCTTAACTATTTAAAATTGTGGCTACAGTATGATGACCATATGATGATCTTCCTCTCTCATAAATTTTCTTGATGGACTGTTATTTGGTGATAATCTTCTGTCATTTTCTAGTCTTACATAGTGAGAATTGTGTTAGCGGAACTGTCTTTTTGTAATATACCTTTTAGCTTCAGTCTGATTTCTTTAGGTTTATCAGCAGTAAAGCATATGTTGGAATTAGACAAGAAATACATGAGAGAGAATATAAACTTATCCAAGGATATACCTAAAGAAATCAGACTGAAGCTAAAAGGTATATCACAAAAAGACAGTTCAGCTATTACAAAGACACCATGCAGCACAGAAGTAATAAAACATGACATCAAAGTTACAGATGATAATTCATTTAAGATCAAGCATATCAAATACCTAAACACTACAGAGATGCTCTAGAAGAAGAAATAAATAACTTATTAGGGCATGATTTGATCAGAAATTCGAGTTCTGCATACTCTTCTTCTATTGTCATTGTGAAGAAGAAAAAATGGAAAAAAAATGATTGTGTTGTGATTACAGAAGATTAAAATACGTTACTATAATAGACAGATAACCTTTGCCTAATAAAGAGGATCTTGTCAATGAAATAGCAAGGAGTAATATATTCACACCTGTAGACTTAACAACAAGAGATTATTTTAATAAGGACCCGTTGACATATTTCCCAGTTTGCTTAATGAAAGATGTGACCAATGATGACGCTGTGTTGAGAAAAATGATCAGTCTATGCATAGTAAACAAAAGAGTGAAACAAGATATGTTTAGTCTTGACAATAACAGACAAAAAAAAATAAGCAGAAGTTTCACCCAGATGCCTTATTCAACAGACAAAAATATATATAAATTATATAAATTAAGCTTTTGCAGTATCCAGGTGGCCCTTGTGTTAAGATGGCGTTGCCCAACTGGAATGTATTGACAATTTTCCAGGAAAACAAATACGTCGAATAGCGTTTCCGTGCTTAGGGAAAAAAAAATTGGAAATTCCCGCACTAAACTTAATGAGGGTCACTTTGTTAATCAGTTTATGTGTTTCAGAGAAACGTTTGAGTTGTTCCTTTTAACAAGAAGCAGGTTGGTGTGTTCAATTATTTTTTTTAACAGTTAAAAATATTTAAATTGTAAGGGACGAAGAAAAAAATGAACATCTTATCAAAAAGCGCATATTAAAGATTTTTCGATACACATTTGAATACTAAACACCCTTTTACTTTATGTAATATATATATATTATATATATATATATATATATATATATATATATATATATATATGCAGTGGCGACGCTACACCAGGACACGCCGGGCCCAAGGACCTGATAAAAAAAACTTGGGACCTGGCAAATGACCTGGTAAATTTTTATTAGCTACTAATATTGTATATATGCTCATTAAGCGTGAACTACATTACACGTAAGAGAACTTCCATTTTAAATGCCTTTATATGTTTAAATTTTTATCGGCATCAAAAGTCAATATAACGTCATAAAATGTAATATATATAAATTTTAAGTTTTTAATTTGTAAGAGGCCATCCATATATTACGTACGCAAAAATATGTATTTTAATACATTTATTTGGGACCCGCCAAATTTTTTTAAGACCTGTTAAATTTGATGGCGTCGCCACTGTATATATGTAACTGAATTGCTGATTTCAAAAATCAATTACACTGTATAAAGGATTATTTGCACCTTGACGTTCATCAGAAAAACCTATTAATAGCAAGTAAAATAGTTGAATGGTGCAGCCGTTCTTCACCCCAGACCAAACTTTGAAGGTCTTGTCAGATGCAAAGGTAGAAATCTAGATCTTTACAGACCCGATTGAGCGATCTGAAAACTCTGACATTGTTTTGGGGTAGTGTCATGGGTTCGACGTTCTTTTCTCCCAACTGCATTCATGTCGCACTTGTGGCACGCCATTCCTGGGATTTCCTTGAGCTGGCGTTTAGCAAAAGATAGAAACTTGAAGTCTAGGATATAGATCGCTACAGATTTTAGCATATTTTAAAAACAGAAAAAAAAAGAAGAAGAAAAATCTTATTACAACACGCGTTAAAAATATCGCATATTATATCGTGTCATTTACGTGGCCTTGACCCGCTCTGCTGTCGACACATCTGCATTGACAACAGTTTGTCCCCTGGCACAGGCAAGCATGTAAGGTAGTCCTAAAGTTTTTTTAAAATTTTTTTTAAAATATTTAACATTTTGCAGCTTAGAATTTATAACCAGAAATACAATAACAAAAACAACCTTATCGCTGTTTGGAACGAATAAAGGACAAACAAAACAACCGTTCAAACGGCTCAGTAGCTTTCCACTGATTAGTCTAAAGATAGGAGGTGTGCCACTTGGGGCTGGACAAGCTTCAGCCATCACCACCACCCCCCTCCCCAACTTCTCAACATTTTCAAAAAAAAAAAAAAGAGAGAGAAACAACGAAGGTAAAAAAAACAAATGACGGCCCATCTTATAAAAAAAAAAAAAAAGAGAGAGAAAAAACGAAGGTAAAAAAAACAAATGACGGCCCTTCTTATAAATAAAAAAATATGCCCAGTCGGGTGGGATGACCCCCCCCCCCGTACCCTGCATCCCCTTTTCTATGCAAAGACATTTATCTAGAAGCTCGTCCTCATCTCAGTCTTAAGCAATCTTTGGAAGAAGACGAAGCATGCACATGAAATTAAAGTATCTTTAAAACATGAACTACGAGGTCCCACAAGGTTAAGGCGTGTTATTATTTGAAACTATATGCAGCTACTATGTACACAAACAAGAAAATACAAGTATGGCAATCATCCAAAACTGGTACACTATGCTGTGCAGAATTATGTATGCTGGTTTAGGCAATGAGCATACATGAAACGTGCAAACATTTCTAGGAAATTTCCGGTTTTATTTATAAGCAGGGGGTGTATGGGGGGGGGGGTATGTCAGTATAATAGTGTCCGGTTTTCTGAGGAATCAGACTTGACCTTTTGGCAAAGATCTTTTAAACAGCAAATAATTATATTAAGAAACGTCAACTTAAAAAACGGCTATCATCGGGTTTTCCCGGTGTTATTCAAGGTAGAGACTACAGCCGTCTATACCTGTAGATCTTTAGTTGATCTGTGACTACATATTATCTCTTAAAATTGTAGACGCACAACTAATATTCGACCAGAGGGCGTACGCAATGTATTTCAATAGTTATAGGTGATCGAAGTACTGCGTCCTCAAACAACCTTTCTCGCCAATAGCTGTGTCATTCTGTGTCACTGCTTGTCACTGTGCATATATTTATTTGTTCACACATTTCCTTAGGAAAACATCAACATGAAACCCGGGCTACGAGTCGTCCGTGGACCGGACTGGAGGTACGGCGACCAGGATGGCGGTGAAGGTCACGTCGGCACAGTGGTAGAAATCGGCGGGCAGCGGGGATCCGAAACTCCAGAGAAGTGTGTGGCTGTGACCTGGGACTCAGGGGTCAGGAAAACCTACAGGGCAGGTCACCAGAACGCTTATGATCTGTTAGCATTTGATAATGGCCAATGTGGTGAGTTATTTTTTTAATGTTAATACCATCTGAAGTCCCCCCTATCCAAACTTAAAAAAGAAAAAGCATTACAAATGGCAAAATAATCGTTTTTTTTTAAATTTCGCTATATAAGTACTAATATAAAGAAAATTACTTATATTATAGTTAATGCCTTATCATATACGAGTATACATATTTATGATACCTATTTTTTTCCACTTTGTCAACTTTTCAAATCTAATCAATTAAACACTCATGGATTTCATGTTACGTAAATATTTTAAGGTGTTAAGTTATATTTTAAAAGGTGTGTTCCACCCTTCCACCAACTGCGATGGCTGCCAGGAGGAAGGCATTGAGGGCTTCCGGTGGAAGTGCTCGGTGTGTGATGATTTCGACCTGTGCACGTCATGCTACATGTCGGACAAGCATAATACTGCACACTCTTTCATCAGGTCCGACACACGCTCATCCGTTGGGTAAGATGAAGCAGCAGCGAAGCTTTTAAAAGTAAAATACTTTAGAAGTAATGAGCAATGTTTATCAGATCCGTTTGTTTATTGTTGGTGGTATTACATGGTAAGCGGGATGTTATCATCGGCTGAAATAAAAACGCTATGTTGTTTTGTTAACTACAGCGATAATGGTCACGTGCTCCAACATTCAAAAACGGAGTCTTTTAAGAACGTCATCTTGATGCAGCAAGAAATATGTAAAATAAATTCAAAAAAAGTTTGAAATAAATATTTCGTTCAATGTATGTTTCAGTCTAGATATAAGAACTCTTAACATATCTTTTTTTTTTTACAACTTAAAATACATAGACCAAAAAAAAAATTGTTTATCTCTTATGGGTATTATGCTACACATTTTTTAATAAAACCTTTAAATTAAGCAAAATAAATTTTAAAGAACAAATAATTTGTAAAGATAAGACATTAGAAGGTATCTTTGAAAAAATGTATTTGAAACTTAACGTCATTAAAAAAAAAAAGAATTCCACAAGCTCATTAAACCTACAGTTTAATTAATTATCAACAATGCACGCAATAATGGGACAGACTGAAATATTGTTAGGTACGTAGAGACAAATCAAACACCATTTTTTATCATGCGCTTCATCATTCCAGTTAGCACAAAACTGTTGCAATAGTAAACATATTTTTTAAGACGATTTCAATAACATATTTACAGTGTAAGTGTTCCCGCGAGAAGTAACTGTGAGAACGAGAAACGGTCGGCAAAGGGGATTTTTAAAGACGCCACTGTTGCCCGAGGACCGGACTGGAGGTGGGATAATCAAGATGGTATGTTTATCTTCAAAATAAAATTAACATTAAAAATAAAACTAAAACTGTTGTAAATGGTAAACAACCTTGAAAATTTATTAAACTTTTAAGTGTAAGGAATATATGTAAAAAAAAAAAAGACAAAAATTATTTTATAAACCTTTAGAATTGAAAATGCTGTACAGATATTATATAAGAGTAAGACAAATGTCACAATTTAACTCTGATTTGAAAAGCGTACCATATTAAATCCCCTACAACTGCCCCAAACAAAGTGCACATTTGTGTTATTTCGGCACGGAAACTAAAATTCCTGCATTGAATGGCTTTCTTAAAAATAATTATAGCCATTTTTTGGGGACCAAATCGAATCAACTTAACTCCGATGGAATAATTATGCTGATATGTAAAATCTAAATTCTAAATAATAAATACATTTGATATTATGATTAAACGAATTATTTAAGTATGCGTCTGAATGTGTGTGTAGATTCCCTGTTTATATTATTTGACATCGAAATCTTTGAGGTAAAGAAAATTTGTGCGCTAAATATTTTTGTGTGTGTTGAGTTGGGGGTCTCTTAAAGGTTCGGTGCCCTTAAGAGATTCGGTGCCACTTGGACAGTGTCTGGCGAGCATTTAGACACGCCATATGACGTCACACTGGTCCTAATGGGACACCTCATCGCGGGATATTTTTTCGGTAGATTCCGTAGTTTTATGTTTGTAATTTTCACTGCAACATGTGAACTGCCCCCGATTCGAATCACTAGTTGCGGCGTAGTTGTTGTTAGTTTCATGGTTGGCCGGAGAACAAAATACGAAAAGCACAACGCTTAATAATCTATCACTATATAAAAGCTCTTATAAAGACTTTATAATATAGAGCAAAAATAAAAGATGCAGATGGTATTCGTATTGCTGATAGCTTAAAACAGAAACAAAAAGTTGTTAGTTCTTCACCGTAAATGTTTGGAGCAATGACTCGTTTAAATGAAATCACTGGCAATCGATTTCATCGACCCTGAGACCATGATGTAAGATAGGATAAGATAAGATGTTTTCATTGATCCAAATAGGTGGAAATTTTCAAAGGCGTTGAAAATTGCCGTATGTGGTTTTCTTGCGGATACAAGTCATCACAACGCGAGTCAGTTACTCCTCTAACTTTTTTTACTTTACGACAGGATATAGAAATCTATTAAAATTAAAAAGTGAAGTTAAAGTGTTGTAAACCTGAATTTACACACGTAAAATTTTGATTTTTAGATAGATGTTGGAACCTCACAGTAGCAGGTTAGCAAGTGGCGCAGTACGCCTACCATTATTACCACGGTAACAGCGGGTGATATCTTCTAGTAATTTTACGTTACTTGTGATCCATTGAGTGACTCATTGAGTGCGTTTATTTAAAACACAAACTTTTGGATTAAATTTAACGAATCAAAAACGCCTTCTTTTAAATATAGATAAACTAATTATAATCATGTTTCTTTTGAATGATCCCCCTCAACGATATTTATACTCCACGAATTCCTATGACAAGGAGGAGAGGGCAAAACTGGTCGAGTTGTGAAAATTTCAAATTGGCAGAAATTGTTGCTTTCAAGCAGCTTCCGGGGCGAAATCTCAGTGTTATGGAGCTCTGGTTCCGGTTACACGTACCGCCTGGGACCGGACGGCAAAGTTGACCTGAAATGTGTTGTGCCAACCAGTGGAGGAAACTACTACAAGAGTCATCTCCCCGTCGTCGGTAGGAGAAACTATTCTCAGAAATTAGCAATTTTTGTTTTTTTACCGACATAGATTATTTTTTTACCATTAAATTTTTTTTTTAAATAATCATTTTTTTGTGTGTGTGTGAATTTGGGCCTTGAGCGGTGTCTTTGTTAAAGGCCGTAGTATATTATAATAATTAAATCGTGCTTTTTAAAATTCAACATATTTAATTTATAATTGAACTGTTTTTTGTTGCAACGCTAACCAAGCTTTATTTTAAAAAAAAAAAACAAAACAAAAAAACAAACAACATATTCATATGGACCGACCTTGAAGAAATAGACAATATTTGACACGCCCCACTAAACTAAACATTTTGAAATAAAGATAATTAAGCAGGTAGATTATTTGCAACGTTTTCTGTGTTCCAGTTTACACGTGTATTTTTCACAGGTAAAATGAAAGATGAAACGATCAAGGATGAGTTTGCAGAAAATTTTCTTCAATCTTTTCATAGAGCAGCCATGGGGCATTTGCTTGTGAATATGCTGGGAGAAGGGGTGGGTAGAACTGTGAATATGCTGGGAGAACGGGTGGGTAGAACTGTGAATATGCTGGGAGAAGGGGTGGGTAGAACTGTGAATATGCTGGGAGAAGGGGTGGGTAGAACTGTGAATATGCACAAAGGGTGGGGGCAGGTGTAGTGATACTGTCGGTGTGCTAAGGGAAGTGGTGGGTAGAATGTGGATATGATGGGCACCAGGGGTGGGTATAACTTTAAAGAAAATTAAAATATATACGCTAATTCTGATTTTACTCATGACTAGGCCTATTTATTTTTTTTGTTTGCTTTCAAATTTAGATATTTTATTTCATTCAAAAGATCGTTCTTAAATAAAATACTCATAAAATACATATTAAATTTGAATTAATAAAATTTGTTTGATTGTGGGAAATTGTAAGGTGTTTTTTCAATTCATTGTACACATGTCCGTGATTAATTACGAACAATAAAAAATAAAGTATATAACACTATTTTCCACTCCCCCATAGAATCTGCTGTGTGTTCTTTTCTAAGTAGTGCAATAGTGCAATTAAGACTTGTGAACTGAGCCCGTAGATTGCAATGTATAAAAAATGTATATAAAAACTAACACAAAAGAAGCGTAACAATACTATAGAATAAAAGAAGACAGATAAAATAAACATTTAAAATGAATGAAAGTTAAACTAAACACTTAACACTGTGCCTTACAGATATCAGCAATGATGAGTTCAGACTCTTCAGACTACGGAGTTGGATTTCGTGTGGTCCGTGGCCCGGATTGGAAATGGGAGAACCAAGATGGCGGTGAAGGGTTTTTAGGGACGATCACGGAGATTGGTGGACCGGGTCTGACGCAGCCTCCGATCAAAGGCGTCAACGTCATTTGGGACAACGGTTGCAAGAACTTGTACAGGGCTGGCCTCGAGGAAAAGTTTGACTTACGTGTCTATGATATCGCTTCAGATGGTATGGAACAATAAAAAAAAAAGACCATATTTTTATACCCGGTGTTCTGACGACAATTTAAATGTTATTGTTAAAAAAGCAAGGAATACAAAAAAAAAAAAAAAAAAAAAAAAAAAAAAAAAAAAAAAGGAATTACAGCAATGGCTTAAGGCATATTTTTAATGAATCATAAATCAAGATATTTTGAATAGATCTTATTTAAATCGTAGGCTACCTAGATCCTATCAAATTGTCATCAACTATCTTTTTTACTAATAGATCAGGGGTTCTCAACCTTCCTAATGCCACGACCCTTTAATACACTTCCTCATTTTGTGGCGACTCCGCTGACCTAGATCGTATCGAATTGTCTTCAAAAATAATACACTACCTAGAGCGTATACAACTTCTTCAAATATTTTATACTTTCAAACCCGCAATTGTTTGGCATGTTAATATTTCAGTGTATATATATTGTTTGTATGTTTATTGTAAACACTCTTACTCAGGAACACAACATGAGTCTGTGAAGTGTGACGGTTGCAGCGCCGAGACTATCCGAGGAATCCGATGGAAGTGCTCCGAATGTCAAAACTCAAATCTCTGTTCGCAGTGCTACAGCAACGACAAGCACGATGTCAACCATCAGTTCCTGCGCTACGACAGTCCTGAGCCGAAAAAGTAAAATATGTCATCTTTCTAACAATTTTGTAAAATTAATATCGTACTATGCTTAAATAGCTCTGAGACGGGAAACATTCCATAATTTATATATATATATTGTGAATTTTTTTTCTTCTAAAAAACAACAATAAATAAAAAAAAAACTATACATCAAGTTCACCAACACAAACATTAGTCAGTGCTCTTGGTCTCTCTCGTCTTGACGTTTGCAACCCTGTCTGTCAGTTACAGCAAATACTTCTTAGAAAAATTTCAAAAGGTTCAAAACTCAGCTGCTAGGCTAGCTCTACAGGCTAAAAAACACGCCATCACGTCAAACCATTACTTTATTCACTTCATTGGCTCCCTTTACAAGCGCGGATTGACTACAAACTCTCTGTTCTCTGCCACAATTTTTGCTCGAATTCCTGCCGTTCCTTTCTAACGGAACTTCTCTCTGTCTATTCACCCCTTCGACTGCTTCGCTCCTCCGCAGACGTGCGTATTCTTTCTGTCCCCGCGACTCGCACAAAAACATACGATGAACGATCGTTCTCTTCATGTGCCCTTAAACAATGGAATTCTCTACCATTACACATGCGCAATATACCGACCATCACAGTCTTCAAAACTGCACTCAAAACACATCTCTTTAAACTCTACTATCCTGACTGAACCCCCCCCCCCCACCTTTTTTTTCTGACCGACCAACAATGCTGCTGCGTGCCGTCCAAGGCTTGAGATAGTTCTGGAATGGGTGGAGTGAATACACATTTGTTTTGTTTTATTTAATTATTGGACGTTAATTTTTAAGTTCATGATTATGTTTGTTAAATTGCATGTACAGCGTGGTGAGCACAGCCCTAGGCTTGGGTACCACGTTATTTAAAATCACCAATAAAAAATAAAAACAATAAATATATTTATGAGTTATTCAAATAAATGACCTTGGTCAATACCCGAAAGTAATTAAAAAACAAAACAACGATGCTAGATGCTAATTTTTAAAAAAATGAAAATGTCAATACTATCGTACACTACATCCACAAAATATCTTACTTACGTTTTTTTAATTTGAAAATGAAATACATATAATAATTGTTGAATTATAAATCCATTTTTGTACTCCATGGGTTAATGTTTCATTTTTAGAATATTTAAAGTACCCAAGCGTTCAGAGAGCCAAAAGGTCCAAGCTATGGGCATATTTCCTGGGGCATCCGTGTCTCGTGGGCGTGACTGGAAATGGGGTGGTCAAGATGGTAGGTGACTTAACAATATGTCGAAGTGTTTAATGAAACCATGCACTTTCTTTATACAAACTCAGATTTATCTTCATTAGAAAATATAAATAAAAGGAATGCATTCAAGCCTAGTAAATGAATGAAATAGCAAAACGAGGTATGTGGAAGCTTGAACTAGAGAACAGGACAAAAAACAAGGACGTTTCGGAATAGAGCCTTCTTCAGCTAACAATAGAAATTAAAATATAACAAAGAACTGTGCACAGTAAACCACTCAAGAAGTATCCATTGGTGTCGCCGGTAGTGGGAACACAGGAAGCGCGAGAATATAAACATTGGCACTGTGAAAAATGAGGTCCACAATAATAATGGACCAGAATATCCAGGGATACATAGACACACAGCAATAAGAAAAAATAGATGAAATTATGTTCTCTAGTTCAAGCTTCCACATACCTCGTTTTGCTATTTCATTCATTTATCCTTATTAAGCCATTTAAGCTATATAATAAGGCTTGTTATTTTTAAGAAAATATTATGGGTTTTTTTAATACTAAAAGGAAATTAATTAACTGGGAAAATAAACGTTGTGTTATAGGGTATATTTCCATTATTCACGTAGGTGGTGAGGGAAGCGTCGGTCGTGTCCTCTCCTTAGAAGATACCGGAAATTCCTCCTACAGAAGTTCAGCCTCTGTCCAGTGGCCGTCCGGCTCTAAAAACGTTTACCGTCTTGGGCACAGGGGAAACGTTGATCTGAAATGTACGAAGGCGACACCTGGAGGATTTTACTACAGAAATCACATGCCCATATTTGGTAAATGGAAGAAAATTGCTGTGCATTTTTTAAAATATAAACACATGCACAAGTACAATCATGCAAATACAAGTCAAGTACAAACACAAATAATACAATTACAATACATAAATACAAAAAAGTTGATGTTACTGGATGCTGGATTAAATGAGAAAATATATCCAGAACTCAATATTTTTCTGCGTTGGGCAATCGGACTCTTATACCAGTACACAGGAATGACAATTATTTTGGTGTCCAAGAAACTATATTTAAATTTTATTTTAATTATAAAATATTTTTAACACCATTATTATAACTATAATTATTATTTTATGTTAGTTATCCAATACTCATAATTTTAAAAAAAAATTACAGTAATAAAATGGGGAAAATGATAAAATATTGAAGGAGACGCAAATAATATCTATTTAAAAATGCGACACTCCAATTTATTTAATCAAATTTAATGTACCGACGATTCTGCGCTGATCACAGTTACCTGTGCAATCAAGTTTCTACTTAAATTGCTGTCAAGTGTTTCATTAGCCTACCCGAAGTGACACTTTTGGTTAATCGTGTGAATGCCAAAATCAAACAACAAAATTAATACAATACAAAATCTTATTGCACTTAAAAAATATATGACTACACGTTGCACGCATTATTTGTGATTGGCGGCCCGTAGATATCAAATATATTAACGGATTCAGCCAACAAACTACAAACTGCATCATTCTGTTAGAAGAAACGCTGGAATTTTAACTTTTTTTTTGAAAATATACATACCAAGAGAAAACCCACCAATCAATGGCGGCGGTGAAGGTGCCATCCACTCAAGTCGCTTGACAGAGCATGCAGTCGTGTACCGCACTTGACATGAAACCCAATTGGTGCTGTATCTAGGAATTGTATTTGCCGTGCGTATTGAGCACGGCATTACAGCTATACGTACACATCTAGAGAATTGTATGTCACCCACGGGTTCTATTATTTTAATATAGGTCTCTACGATACTTAAACTCACAATTTGCTTTTTTCTGACAACGCCAGGCAAGGAACAGCCGCCTGAGAAAGCAGCTCGATTTAAAGTCGGTGACCAGGTCAAGTGTTCAGTTGAAGCTCTAAAGCTAAGGAGTCTACAGCTGGGCCACGGAGGCTTCTCAATGGACATGGTTCCGGTAATAAAAAAAAATTACAAAGTAGAAAAAAAAAGTTCTAATAGTGAAATGTATTGACTTGGGTCTCTCCATTATATCTCTCGTTGTCATTTCTTTCTGCCTCTCACTAATATATCTATTGCTCTTTCTCACAATCGGTCTTATAGATTATTTAATTGTTTCACTATTTCTCTAACTTATTCAATACCTTACACAGTCTCTTTATCTCTTTCTCCAAGTGTCTAGTTTTCATTTTAAATATCTCTTATCTAATTTAAAAGCCTCAAATTTAACTAAATTGCTTTTGTTACTTTAAAGGAGTTTAAAAAATAAATAAATAAGAAGCTCAATCAAAATTTCAAAAGTTATCTTAAGCCACTCTTATCTTAAGCGACTCTTATCTTAATCCACTCTTATCTTAATCCACTCTTATCTTAATCTACTATTATCTTAATCTACTATTATCTTAATCCACTCTTAACTTAATCCAATCTTATCTTAAGCCACTCTTATCTTAAGCCACTCTTATCTTAAGCCACTCTTATCTCATTAATCGTACATCATCCAAAACATACCATCGCTTTGAGAAGGAATTCAAGTGTGCAAGGAAGTGCAACATTCCGTTTGCGACATTGAAATTTTGCTTTAGGTTTATTGGACGCAAACATTTTATTCACTACATAAGACACTATTTGTAGACTTTAATTATTTCAAGACAACGTAATAAATAAAACAAGTTTGGCTTAAGTCTTCATTAGTCTTAAGTGGGTCCTAAAGTTGTTGTTTTTGTTGTTGTTTTTTTTAAGTCAATTATTCTTAATGACAAAATGTCGTTATGGTTATTTTGTTTAAATCCATATTTGTGTGATTGCTATATTGAAATATGTTAATTTTATTCTAAACTTATGAGCAGTCAAAAAAGTGAAAATTAGCCTTTTTTTCTATTAGGGTAATAATTGTATTTTTAAAAAAAAATAATTAAGTAACGTTTCGTATTTTATCATTTTTCACGTTGTTAATGAAGAATATTTCTGACAATGATTTTTACATTCAAATCAAAATGTAATTTTTGTCATCTCTGTAATTTTTTCGTACGCCCATACATCTTTATGCGATAATTCACTATGATGATCACAGATAAAATAGAATGATGTCTTAGGATATACTTTTGTTTTGACTAAGCTGATCAACATCCCTGGATCTGTCAAGTCTATTGACGACGATGGGGACGTCGTTGTGGTATACCCCAACGGCAAGCAGTTTATGTATCACCCTGACGCCCTGAGTAAGGTAATTTACATAACAAACGAGGTGTACAATTTAAACATCTATAAATTTATTGGTAAATTTATAATTTTGAACTAATTTGTACGAGATCTGCTAATGGGAAAACAACGTTGTACATCCTGATGTTTCTAAGCGTTATATCGATTGAATGGAAGATGCGTTTTTTTTTTTTCTCTTTAAAAAAAGGGGGTGACGTGAAATGAAATTACTGAAAAGTATGAACTCATTTTAAGCCTTTGTCTGCAATGACAGAAACAATGCATATGTGGTTAACTATTTAAAAAAAAATCATAATAAAAAAATATACATTGTTCGATGAACCTATCACACTTCTAATGAACGTCTACAGGAAAAATTATAATAGAATTTTATTGTACGAAATAAGAACGAATTATTCTCTCTTTAGAAAGTGAAATTTGAAAACAAAATAACGCATCATGAAAGTTTAAATTATTTCGATAAAATGTGTAAACATGTTCCATATTTTATATAATTAATTTAAGCTAAATCACAAACATGTTATTATTTATTTATTAATAGCATTATTATTGTTTTTGTTGCCAATGTCCCTCTACGGATTTTAATAATCAAAATATTAACACATTTAATACATTTTTTTTTTCACTTTTGCTTTGGCAGGAATAAGATCCAAGTGAAAGATACCTTACTAATACAGACTTTTATTAGAATCGAGTGCCAGAATGTGTTTTATGTAACAATTGATGTTTCTGATGATGGCTATTTAGAATACAACTATTTGTTTTAATGTATTCCTTCATATGCAGATTTCAGTTAAGATTCATCGTTCGCTGGCCATTAATTTTATTCTCTCCCTGTTAATTTAATATATATTCTTTATTTCAAATCTGTTTTTAAGCAGTAACTCAAGTATAAAGGCGTTGAACTGAGCTAAAGCTTTCAAGTAGTTTAATGAGACCCAAGCCTTTGTGTAATTAATGCTTTAAAAAGAAGTATATATGTATAAATTAAATTCACATAACCTATATATTTATGTATCCACATAAAATATTTTTAATCAGCAATGTTTACCTTTGAAACATTTTTTTTTTATTGAGAGGTTAACGTGGAGCATATAAAAAGAAGTTACTTTTTAAATAGCTGGGTTATTGTGGATAATTAAGAAGCAGTGAAAACATGTTACTGCCAAGACTTGTTTTACTAAAACACTTTATATTGTATCTACCTTATAAACTAAAGTTGTGATTCCATTAAGCTCATATACAAAAAACAAAAACATATTAGCTCATGTAGTTATTGTGTAAAATTAGCTAGTTACTGCCATAACCGATGTGTGAATTAATAGAGTATGGGGGTGGGGGGAGGTTATATGGGCTCAGGTGAGAGGTTATATGGGTTCAGGTGAGAGGTTTTATGGGTTCAGGTGAGAGGTTTTATGGGTACATGTGAGAGGTTATATGGGTACAGGTGAGAGGTTATATGGGTACAGGTGAGAGGTTATATGGGTACAGGTGAGAGGTTTTATGGGTACAGGTGAGAGGTTTTATGGGTACAGGTGAGAGGTTATATGGGTTCAGGTGAGAGGTTATATGGGTTCAGGTGAGAGGTTTTATGGGTACAGGTGAGAGGTTATATGGGTACAGGTGAGAGGTTATATGGGTTCAGGTGAGAGGTTATATGGGTACAGGCTAGAGGTTATATGGGTACAGGTGAGAGGTTATATGGGCTCAGGCGAGAGGCTTAGGTGAAAGGCTACGGGTTGGGGGTTCAGGTGAGAGGATTTAGTGGTTCAGGTGACTAGCTATAGTGTGTTCAGGTGAGAGACTATAGAGGGTTCAGGTGACAGGCCATAGAGAGTTCAGGTGAGAGGCTTTAGGAGGTTCAATTGAAAGACCTTAGAGTGTGCAGGTGAGAGGCTTTAGGAGGTTTAGGTGAGAGGCTATAGGGATTTCAGTTGAGAGGCCTTAGGAAGTTCAGGGGAAAGGGTTTAGAGAGTTCAGGTGAGAGGCTTTAGGAGGTTCAGGTGAGAGGCTATAGGGATTTCGGTTGAGAGACCTTAGGAGGTTCAGGTGAAAGGGTTTAGAGAGTTCAGGCGAGAGGCTTAGGTGAAAGGCTACGGGTTGGGGGGTTCAGGTGAGAGGATTTAGTGGTTCAGGTGACTAGCTATAGTGTGTTCAGGTGAGAGACTATAGAGGGTTCAGGTGACAGGCCATAGAGAGTTCAGGTGAGAGGCTTTAGGAGGTTCAATTGAAAGACCTTAGAGTGTGCAGGTGAGAGGCTTTAGGAGGTTTAGGTGAGAGGCTATAGGGATTTCGGTTGAGAGGCCTTAGGAGGTTCAGGTGAAAGGGTTTAGAGAGTTCAGGTGAGAGGCTTTAGGAGATTCAGGGGGGAGGCTATGGAGAGTTGGTTAAAAAGTAGGTTTAAAGTTTCATCTGGTAACGGGTCCACAGGTGGCTAGGAGTTTACGGGGCTGGAATGACAGGCGTACGATACCAAATGACTTTTTTTTTTTTAATCAAGCGATCGGAATTGATTTCGAATTAAGGAGTGTTCAACTAAGACCACGGGCAATGTGATAGAGCTGGGCAACATCCTGTCGGTCAACTCAAAGCAAAACTCAACAACAGTTTTAATGTGGGCCTTTACAAAAAAGGAAACGTATTTATTATTGATAACAATTTTCTTTGAAAACACGTTGAGGGATTTGGTCTGTTTCAGTCTGAAAAATGATCTCTGACTTTGAGCAATGAATCTCAAGCATATTTTGTTGATACCGTTTAGGACATAGTTAAAAATCTACAAATACTTTAAATGATGGTGTATGTAAAAATATGTCCATGGCGTAACATATAATTTTTTATATATATATTTTTAATTGCAAGGGTTGTGACATTATATTTGGTGCAAATAATATTTACTTCAGCGAGATATCTGAATGAGTATTCATATTTTTAAAGGATTGTGTATCATACGATTTCTTCAATTAGCCGGAGCAATGGAAAGCAACAAGTAATGAAACAATAACATTGATATCTTTTGATTTTAAAACTAAGAAATGGATATTTTAATGCCCTGTAATTAATGTTATAATTAATTATATTTTATTGCTATTTATACTATACACAATGTTTATATACATACATTTAAAATTCTGTTTATTATGATTGGATTTACCAGTATATTGCAAATTTCGATTTAAAAAAAATATTTTACTATGGAAAATCCAGACTATAATGAATGTTTCAGACTGAGAGTGGGCAGGTTCTTTTAATTTTATTTCTGTAACGGAAAAAGGAAGTTTTATAGTATATTTATGGAAATAAATACCTTTAATGGTCATCTTTAAGCATTTATTGAAATGTTTTCTTTTAGAGCGTTTTGGAAAATAAGCGGTTTGAGTTGTCCTTTTATGTACGAGAGAGCATGTTAGCATACGCTAGAAAAAATTGAAAACATATTTAGTTAGAGATTATCTGACTACAGCGGAGAATACACACGTGACCCATGACATATTAAAGTGTAATCTAAAACAAAATTTTGGCTTTGAAAATTTTAGTATTCATATTTATAGACTTTTACCTCCAGTAACTAAAAAATAAATACCAAGCAAGGCTCTGGTCAGATGATATACACACTAATTACAGTTCGTCAAAAAAAAAACAAAACAAGTTTTAGTTTTAAAAAACAAACAAAACTTGCTAGAAACAAACACGAATACATTGCCACAACTTGCCACAGCGTCCTTCAAACCTAGAACTGTGTCCTGCACGTCTAGCACAGCGTCCTGCTAGCCTAGCACCGAGTCCTGGGATCCTAGCACAGCGTCCTGCTAGCCTAGCACCGAGTCCTGGAATCCTAGCACTGCGTCCTGCTAGCCTAGCACCGAGTCCTGGAATCCTAGCACAGCGTCCTGCTAGCCTAGCACCGAGTCCTGGAATCCTAGCACAGCGTCCTGCTAGCCTAGCACCGAGTCCTGGAATCCTAGCACAGCGTCCTGCTAGCCTAGCACCGAGTCCTGGAATCCTAGCACTGCGTCCTGCTAGCCTAGCACCGAGTCCTGGAATCCTAGCACTGCGTCCTGCAATCCAAACCTGCGTACCCCAACATTTTGGTAAGAAACCTTGGACTAGAGAGCTCTAAATAGATCTTGTGTATAACGTTGTTCTGGAATTTGTGCAGTATTTTATTTAGTAGTTAGAGTATCTTTGTTAGCCCCTATTCGTTTAAAGTGATCTTAAGCTGTCACCAAATCCTTCATTTAAATTATCACTGAGCTTTTATCATAGATATTAACTTTTATTTTCCTTATATACTTAAGCATTTACAAAAAATTATAATTACAATTTAAGGAATTTAAAAAGAAACAATTAGCAAATAAAAGTTAATTCTTGTCTCATGTTATTCAGATGCATTTAAAAAAAATGATAAAGTACTTGCAGTATGTTATGCTTAACAATTTGTTACTCATATGTTAGAGTCAGTCACACAAACAACATATAATTATTCTAACTAAACAATTGTGAAATATAAATAGACGTCAAGAAATCAGAAGGAAACAGAAAATAATAAATGTCTAAAAGACCAAAAATATATATTTTTTACATCAAATTCAAATGGTTGTCATGTGATCACTGGGCAACAGCTGCCTCCTGTACAAAACGCATTAACCAGCACGCGATCGATTGGCGTGGCAACTATGAGTCACAAGGGTTCTCTTAATTTTTGTACTAAGCCCACGAATAAAATCAAACCATATTGTTTTAAATAAATATTAATGTTATTACATTACGATATACCATTTTAAAGCAAACAAATAATTTGATGGGAAAAGTTAACACTTCGATGCAACTTGATTGACACATATACATAAAAATATATATTTAATTATATATATATATATGTGTGTGTGTGTATATATATATATATATATATACACATGTCGCTAAATAGATATAAATTTAAGACTTGAAAACATCTACTGTAAAAAACAGATGTTTGGGCCCAAGCCTTTCTTTCAATAGTTAAGCTTGGCCTAGTCAGAAAACATGATTTAAATTGTAATCTCAATTTAAAAATGTTTTAATTAAACACTGGACAATCAACGGTGGTTTCGGCAAGATGCCTTCTTCAGAAGACAATACAAAACAGGAAACAACATACGTGTCTCAGTAATGTCAATGTAGGTCTATGTTTAGAACAGGAAGAAACGAGCAAACATATCCAGACATAAATATGTATGTGTTTATTTCATATAATTATTAGTATGTAGTTAAAATTAGACTTTTGCAACATGGCCCTTTAAATTAAGTTAAGTTAAAAACATGGGAGTGTCCCCTTAGACTTTACCATGTTTTAAAATTTAGCTCTAAAAGAAGTGATGCGTTTTGGTGACATAACGTTGGTGATGAATAAAATGTATTGGCTTAACAATTCCTGCAAAAAAAATAACAATAAACTCACATAACAAACATGTCACTCTCAGAATCAAATCAAAACAATGGATTAACTCTACCAAATTTTTGATACAATTAGTGTGTCTAAAGCTGAGGTTTACTTGACGTGGTGTACAAGCAATCCACAGTTAGAGAATAGTCTCCTTTTTTTCATGCAAAGCAAGATGTGCGACTCTTTACGCTTTTTCAGGGAAAACAATCCATTTGGAAATCGGAAATTTTCTGTATGACGTAAAATGGAAATGAGTGGAGCTACGCATTTTAAAGACTGTGTCTTTATTAACTGCATCACTCTTTCTTCGTTTGCTTGTAAACTCTTCGCTTTTCTGAGTACATACGGGGAAAAAAATTATACATTTGTATGATTTGTGTTACTTATGTATTGTGACACATTTCCTTTTTGGAATTTTGTGTACTTGCTATAATATATAGGCGACTAATTATTCATTATATATGGAGCATTTATTTATTTTTTAAATATTTTTTTTTGTTCGCGTTTTTGATAGATAGAATTAACTACAACGCATCATGTTCAGTATTGATTATTTCAGCAATTTAAGATCATGAGGCTTGGACTTCGCGTTGTTCGTGGACCTGCCTGGAGATACGGCGACCAGGACGGAGGCGAAGGTCATGTTGGCACAGTGGTAGAAATAGGTGGGCAGAACTTGCCTACACCTGAGCAATGTGTGACAGTGTCCTGGGACACGGGGACAAAGAAGGTGTATCGGGTCGGCCACCAGAAAGCGTACGATCTGCTGGCTTACGACAACGGACCTTGTGGTGAGTACTAGGCTTCAGATGGTGTAAAAAAATAATGATAATAATAATAATTGTATGCCAACTACATTGAGCGCATGCGTAGTATTGAACAGATCTTTGTGAATATTGAATAAAGTTTACATGGTTCATGTGATCTGACGGTGGATACTAATTAAATAACATGGACAGAAAAATTTAAAAGAAATCTCCACTGACTTACTGATTTAGTGATTAACTAATTATAAGAGTTATATTTCAATGAACATTGTAGTTTTAATAAATTTTAATAGAAATTATAAATGGCAATTCAAAATGAAAATACATTTTAATACAGTTCATTTTGTAAAACCTGTTTTCTATACCGTGTTATTTCTTGTTTTGTTTTTGTCTTGTCTCCTGAAGAAGGCTCTTAGCCAGACAATTATCTTTTGTATTGCCCTGTCTTTCTATTTCAAGCTTGCCATGCCTTGTTCTAGTATTTACATTTTAGTTAGGTTAGCATCATCTCCTCTAGGTAATTTTAAAGTTTGTTTAAAAAGTGTGTTAGGAGATAAAAATCTTTAAAATCTATTTCTAATTATCCTAACATATTTTTAAAAAAAATGATGTTGTATGTTATTATAGAGGAATAATTGAAAAATTATTCTCTTAGTCACAAGAACTCCATCATAAAATAATTACATTTTCTTAATGAAGCAAATACTAATTGATATTCATTTCAAAGAAACGTATGTTTGAAACCTTATCACAGGTGTCTTCCACCCTAACACCGTGTGCAGTGGCTGCGAGGAAAACGGTATTGAAGGATTCAGGTGGAAGTGCTCAGAGTGTGAAGAGGTCAACTTGTGCTCATCCTGCTACCACTCAAATAAACACAGCACTTCTCACCCTTTTCTAAGATTTGACAACCGTTCGTCTGTTGGGTGGGTTGCATGTGTGTGACATGCACTGCATTTATTTAATAATTACTGTGATGTATCTATATTATCAAATGCAACATACATCACATCAATAAATATACAGCGTGGGCCAATAAAAGTGAGAACATATCATAAAATCTAGGGCAACGTTTCATTGACAGAAGCATAAACGAGTGGCGTCGATGCTTCGAAAAAGTTGTTGAGAAGCAAGGAGGACACATTGAACATGATTTCTAATTAGCTAAATATTTTGCACAAAAAAAATTCCATGAAGAATTATAATTAATTAAATTATATTTTGAAATAACTCATATGCTACGAGATGTTCTCACTTTTATTGGCCCACCCTTCACATATTTTGACTCAGATATGATTTGCCTGATAAACCGTTTATAGATTATAACTAGTTTCGTATGATAAGAACATTCAGATATATTCAAGGTATACCAAGGAAAAGTGTTAATGCATGAAACAAACTTTATCCAGAGTATCCAAGGGTGGGGGAGTTCGCCCTTTCAATCATTCTTGCAACAGTTGGTCCATTTGAAATACTCGCACCATACTTGTTCTGTTATAAATGTAACATTACGAAACCAATATTTATTTGGTTTAATCATATTAAGTCAGTTTATTTTTTTTATTTTGCTTAACCACTGTTATATGTTTTATATTATTTAAAACTTACATACCAACATCAGCGATGTCTAAATCTCCACAGCGTGGCCTGCAAAAAACGTAACGACTGCAGCTCTGAAAGATGCCGAGCCCTGGGCATTTTCGTTGGGGCCACCGTTCGCCGAGGACCAGACTGGGAATGGAAAGACCAGGATGGTGAGCCTCGTAGTGAAATTTTCTCAAAGGATTTATTTAAAAATCTACTATAAGAATCAAAAGAACTGCAGCTACCATGTATCCTTAAACTGATAGAACATCAGCTCTGTCATAGGTAAATCATTGGATCCATTTCATTCGTATCGGGTTCATATCATTTTAACAGGGTTAATTTTTTAGCATACCTTCATGAAGCCGAAGATATAGATTGTATGTAAGTAAACATGAAAATGGGAAAAGAAAACTCTAATACTAAAGCCATCTTAAAATAAATAAACAATATTCTCTTTCCAAAAAAAACTATATATATTAAAAAATTTTAAAAAGTTTTCATTGTTGAAATAAAGTGTTTAAATTTGAGTTAATCCCACTTTGCCTTAGGGCCTGTCAAGGAAGGAACAGTTATACAAATATCCAACTGGCTTAAGTCTTTCCGAGGCCAAATCAAGGTGTCGTGGACAGGCGGCTCCACTTACTCCTATAGATTAGGTGTTGATGGCAAGCTGGATCTGTCGTGTGTCGTTCCAAGCCAAGGAGACTACTATTACAAGAGCCATCTGCCCATTGTTGGTAGGTCCCGATACAATTTTATTGGAATTCAATTGAGAAATTTAACCTGTAATTGAAATTAATAATTAATTATCATAGATGAACGTGCTTATTTACAAATGTTTTTTTGCTCTCGGGAGAAAAAAAATACATGCATTGAGGGTTATCTTTATCTGAGCTCTCCAATCATTAACATTTTCTGTGTTCTACTTACTACTATGGGGATTTAGAGCGATATATATTACTAAAATCAAAGGCAATAATTTAAGAAGTTTACTCATACCTTAGCACATTCCTGAAAGTGAACAAGGATAATGAGAAACAATTATATATATATATATATATATATATATATATATATATATATATATGTATACACATCTTTTTTTCTCTATAGACTCTATTTCACATATGTGTATCTTCATATTTCTTTTAGCACATTCCTGAAAGTGAACAAAGATAATGAGAAACAATTATATATATATATATATATATATATATATATATATGTATACAAATCATTTGTTCTCTAAAGACTACATTTCACATATGTGCATCATCATATTTCTAAACGGAGAGATCGTGATATAAAAAATTAATGATCTGAAGAAACAATGAGTACGTTTTAAAAAAAAAAATCCTTTGGATTAACTTCGCTTTTGTTCGTGTGTTTCTGGCTGGGTGAGAACTATCTTCTGACGGCTAGTCGACCCACTTCCCGTTATCCTATCGAGCTAAAACTTGGCAAATAGACTTGTCATTCACAACACATTTTTTTTTAAATTTTCAGCCCCACCCTACTACTCCGACCCCAAAATCAGTTTTTCCTCTTTATTTTAGGGACATAGGTACATATGACGTCATTGATTTCACAAATAATATTCCTGATAACTGAGATTCTTTTTAATATATATATATATATATCGCAAGTGTGTTTGGTGCGTAATATTTGCTACTTACGTTCGTTTAATTAAAGTCGGATTTGGACCTGGTGTGTCGTCCACGAGAAGCACAACACCGTTTTACAAGCTACGATAGAAAATTGTGCAAATTGGAATGTTATACGTTCTATTACAAATGTCTGTGCTTTTTAAATCTTAATATTTTTATAGTGAAATGTCGTGAGCCGTGAGGTTTAAAGCGATGAAGATTCGCCTTTGGATAATGACACATATATGTTAGTTTTATTCTCAAATCTTAACAAAATGTGTGTGTTTGTCAGGGGTGCAAGTTTTGCAAGTCTTAGAACCGTCTCTCATTTGTGGATATTTTCGATTGCACGCCATGATTTCGATACAAAAAATTGTTTTAAGTGAAGTTAGCCTTCAATCATGTTACAACCAGTCGTGAGAAAAAAAAAACATTTTAAAATCATTTCCCATCGTTCCAAAGTCACCTTACAGTTACGTAATGCTGCATTGACAGGTGCAAACAATTTATTTGTACACTATACAGTTCATATTTTTTACATAACTAAAAATTATGACGAATAAAAATCAGATTTAAAAGTATGAGGGATCAGGCCTACTTTTTTCTTCTTTTTTTTCCTTCTTTCTTTAAAATGGATACTTTTTATTTTTAACCAATATATTTTTTTTTGTGCCAAAGGTCAAATGAATGACGAAGAAACAGATTCCAGCCTAGACTTGTCATCTTCACTTTCAATGCTACAAGTCGACGGGGATGACCTGGCGAGTCTGTTGATGCTAGAACTACTTGGGGACGGTGTAAGATAATAGTGTTTTTTTTTCCTCTTAAACTATACAGCTACACATTTAATGGCGAAACAACTTTCGTTCAAAATTCATCCGCATTGAAATTAATTTCACTTTTAACCTGATCTTAAAGATTAAAAAAAAAAAAAAAAATAAATTAAAATGTTAAAAAGCAAAAACAAAAACAATTTGGGGACGGTGTAAGATAATAGTTTTTTTTTTTCCTCTTAAAATATACAGCTACACATTTAATGGCGAAACAACTTTCGTTCAAAATTCATCCGCAATGAAAATAATTTCACTTTTAACCTGATCTTAAAGATTAAAAAAAAAAAAAAAACTAACTTAAAATGTTAAATGGCCGACACACAAACAACTTAAAAATTGTTTAGCGTTTAATCTTAAACCATTTAACAAGCTGAAGTGTTTGGAACAGTTTCAATCAAACATGTAATTCATTCATAGAATGTGTATGTTCTTTCTTGTTGTTGAGTTGATTGATTCGCAAGAGATTAATTCTAATGGACGAAAAGCGTATACGTCACCAAAAGAAACATTGGTTCATTAATATAGTCAGTGTCCGCCCTATAAAATTTGGTTCTGTAGGCAAGAACAATAAATGCCACACTTCACTAGTCAATCGTGATGGAGAAAAAACAAAACAAAAAATAGCCAAATACAGTTTTTGTTTAGTAAAAAGAAATAAAAGTTATTTTTCTTTGTTGTTTGAAGCATAAAATCAAATGATAAAAATAGAAATTAATACAATTTATAAGTGTCCCAATTTACAATTATTGAAATTAAATTGGAAACGGACAGCATTTGATTGTTGATATCTGAATTTGCTTACCCAAAGACAGAAGTGGGAAATTTCCAGGTTTGACTTTTAAATATGAAGACGAAATGTATCGTGGGGGAAATCATTGAACACGAAAATTTTTATTTCTTTGAAATCAAAAAAGTTATTCAAATTTTTCAGAAAGTATTTTCAAACAAGTTCCCAAAAAATTGTGACATAAATTAAGAAGGATCATCATTTTCATTTAGAAAACTGACATTTTAAAAGTGGTTAAAATCAGCCTTCTTTATTTCATCTAGGAGAAAGTTTCATTTCAACTTGAGTTCTTAACATTTTGAACTTGACCTCAGATTATTTCCGTGGCCCTTTTTTAAATTATTTAATTCTGATATTCAATAACAATAATAAGCGACCTAGCAAAGCTTTGTAATTAAATATTAATTGCTCTCATTTTTGTGTTTAAAGCTACTTGATTCAGTGACCGCCAAGTCCAAGGAGACACAATATCTGAGGATCGGGTTCAGGGTAGTCCGGGGTCCAGACTGGATCTGGGGTAATCAGGATAAGAGTGAAGGTCACCTGGCGACAGTTGTTGACATCGGCGGTTGTGACAAAGTCAACATTCCGGATAAGTGCGTAGCCGCTCTGTGGGACTGTGGCTCAAGAGATATTTACAGAGCAGGGGCTGCCGGTGGTTTTGATTTGAGAATCTTTGACACGGCTCCTTGTGGTATGAGTTAGACATGAATCCGTAAATTATCAATAATTTGATTTTAAATGTTAATCCATTACTAGGTTTAATATATATATATACATATAAAAATATATACATTATTTTGTATCTAAACGCATAGTTAATATTTACAGCGAAATAAAGCTATAAACAAAGAATAATGTGACGTTCCTGTTGGTAATAATCAACAATTTTAATTAGACATTGAAATACAATATACTGCGTTGTGTATATTAAGAAAATGTTAGGATCGATGTGTTGCCCTCTTGACACAGGCATTCAACACAGTTCAGTCAGCTGCTCGTCGTGCAAGGTGCCACGCATCCAGGGCATGAGATGGCAGTGTCAGGTTTGCGCTGGTGTCAACCTGTGCTCGGCGTGCTACGGGGATGATCAGCATGACGTCGACCACGCTTTTTGGAGAGTGGATAACGCCTCCAGCAAACAGTAATCAAGTAGTCTTATTACATGTACTGTTTTTATTTGATAGTTCTTTGTAACCCTCATCGCCGCACCCGAGCTGCCGCCAATGTGGGCACTTGCTCGCCGTGTACCCGATAAGAACGAGAAGCGGGGCAGTGAACCCTCCAGTAGCTTACGTCGAAAGTCTGATTTACGGCAATCTGCAGCAGATTCTGCACGCCTGTATGTGATTGCTGGGGCCATAAAAGAGCATTTGCTCGGCTCCGAAAAGATCATGAATATTTTAATGTTCTACTATGGCCAGTAGATCTACGGAGAAGAAGGTGTGGGAAAATTTCTGAGTATCCATAAAACATCTCGGCTTTGATTAGCATTTGGCTTTTGCGGATATCTGACACAAACTGCAATAGGCAGATGTAGCAAATAATGTAAAATCAATATCTTTTCTTTTTAAGAAAGGGTCGGAGTTGAAATGTGTAATTTTGTAATTTTAATTTACAATATCAAGGCATTAACATATTCAACCCCCATTTTTTATCTTGTAAATATTCCAGAGAAGTTCCTAGGCGAAGGGGAAGCAAGAAGGTCCAAGCCATGGGCATCTTCAAAGACGCAACAGTCATTCGCGGTCATGACTGGCGATGGGGTAACCAAGATGGTGAGTAAATCTCCTTGAACACTATGTATTTGTATGTCGGAACATGTGCTAGTTAAATTTACTTTTCTTTTTCTCTCCAGCAACTCATCCAATAAGTGCGACAATTTTAAAATATTTAATTACAATCCTGTAGCATTAATCGTTTTTATAAGACTTCGATTCAAGACAAATTGACGTATAACTTTACAATTATACAATTTGTGTAAGTCTATAAGTTTATTATATCATTACATAAAAAATATCATCAAAATAAATTATCTGGTTTTTGTGTTACCACTCAAGATCATTCGATTTATTGTGCTGATTGATTTTCTTGCTTTATATCATACGTTATTTATTATTTTAGTATTAAATTTGACAAAATATTGATCGCTTCGATATTTTTTTTTTAAATACTCATAAAAAAGCTTCAGTCCTACACGAAAGTAAAAATAAATACTCAATTCTCTTCAATGGCTCAATTTTATTTTAATTGATAAATGGTGATAGCATTTGCATTTATTTAAAAAAATTAAGAACTGTTTTATAAGTTAGAATTGTCATAACACTCTGGTCTTTGCTGGTGACCAGCTTTTATTTTTAAGAGCATTGGGACGATCCCAAGGTTTAAATGTTTACAAGAATGGTTTTTGAATCTGGTTTTTTTTTTTTTACATGAGAAATGTTTACCTTTTCATTGGTACTTTAACAAAGTGGTATTGAGAGGGAACTATGATTTACGTGGAGCCTAATAACGCGTTTGAAGCATTGTTCCGGTATATTGTCTAGTAAAACTTTTATTTTAGTTGCCTTAACTTTCGGTTAATATGTGGTGTATTGTTCTCTGTCACAGGGGGTGTAGGCCACCAGGGCCGTGTTCTGTCCATCGATGAATGGAACAAAAACTCTGGCAGGAGCAAGGCAGACGTTGAATGGAGGCCTGGGGCAAAGAACTCCTACCGTGTCGGTCATGATGGGAAAATGGACCTTACGTGTGTTAAGGTGGCAGCGGGGTGGTTCTATTATGTTGACCATTTACCACTTCTAGGTTGGTTGATGGACGAAGCTGATTTTAAATTAAGTTTATTTACAATCACGTGTGAAACATCTGATCAAATTATAGTAGAATGACACGTTTGTTCCTGTTTGGCCTGCTGATTATTAAAGGACAAGCACAAACCCACCCTCTCACCAACACACGTACACACACACAAAGCGCTTTGAGCATGCTATCGAGACAAACTCTATGCATGTAATCAATCATCATCCTATTATTGTATTTTTAAAAAAATGAAATAATGTTATCTTAATTTTTTTAAAGTATATTTTTGTGCTTTTTAAATTTTTTTTATGCACTAACAAAGTAAGTGTGCATGTGTAGTAAATATAATAGTGTGCAAAAAAATTATTACGGAGTTTAGTTAGCGTCCTCGCTGTTAATTTGAATAGTAAATATTAGTGTAACAGAAGCCCGTCACGTGATTTGCTTGTACAAGAGGTCAATAAACAACCGGCGCACCACACAAAAGAATAAACATAAATAACGATAATACTCATCAAGAAACAACTAACCACAACGTGCTGTGATATTCTTTACAGGTCAAGTGGAAGGTATCACATCCTGCTTTGAGGTCGGAGAGCACGTTAAAAGCGAAACTGAACTGTACCGGCTCAAGGAGCTGCAGGATGGCCATGGGGGGATCTCTCTGGACATGATATCGGTAAATATTTCTTTTTAGAACGATAACAAAACAGCAAAGGAATAAAATAGTACAACTTAGGTATGTTGTGGCTTGAAACAACAAAGGAATAAAATAGTAGAACTTAGGTATGTTGTGGCTTGAAACAACAAAGGAATAAAATAGTAGAACTTAGGTATGTTGTGGCTTGAAACAACAAAGGAATAAAATAGTACAACTTAGGTATGTTGTGGCTTGAAACAACAAAGGAATAAAATAGTAGAACTTAGGTATGTTGTGGCTTGAAACAACAAAGGAATAAAATAGTAGAACTTAGGTATGTTGTGGCTTGAAACAACAAAGGAATAAAATAGTACAACTTAGGTATGTTGTGGCTTGAAACAACAAAGGCGGTCTCAAAAGTCGTTTTACCGTGCTCTGTTTCTTGTCGTAGTTTCATTTTTGTCAGTTCCCCGAAGAAGGCTCTAAGCCGAAACGTTCACATCTTATTGTCCTGTCTTTTGTTTGAAACTTCCACATGTCTATATTCTACTATTTCATGCACACAGCCTGGATACACATGCCTATATTCTACTATTTCATGCACATAGCCTGGATGCACATGCCTATATTCTACTATTTCATGCACACAGCTTGGATGCAGTCCTTCATTTATTATCTTTTACAAAGGCATCAGTCACTTACTTTTCACTTCTTTTTATCAAAGTTTTCTTTTAAAACTAATAATATAGTAGGTATTGCTATCAAACCTTACAAAAGTAGTACATCTTGAGTAAAGACAACAAACTTTAAAAAATATATATAAAAACACAACACAATAATGCATGCACATGCTTTCCTCTTCCAGCACAACATCGGAAATCACAAGAAAATTAAACAGCCGCCAACAACACCACCCATCCCCCCCCCCCAACTTGCAAAAAGAAATTTAAAAATGAAGAAAATATTATAATAAAATGTCAAATTAAACTTCCCGGGTGTATAACGTTTAGAAAATGGATAAGTCTGAAAGGATTATAGAAGAAATATATCGTCTAAAAATGTTGGCATTGAGCATTAGCGGAAGTTAAAATGTCCAAATTGAATATAAAAATAAAATGAAAATTTAAAAAGTAGATTGAAGATCATCATTTAAAAAAAAAAGGATTTGCTAAAGTCCATAGGACGATATGGAATTCTAAAATTAGAATTCAGTTATACTAATAAATGCCAGTGCGAGAAAGATACATTAAACGCTCTTATTTTGAGTATCTCCGTTCAAAGCACATGAAAGGGAAAACTCTTTTCTTCAATATTCCGAAGATGCTCACGAAATCTATTAGTCAATATTCTGCACGGCACACTTTTTTTTTTTTTTATTAAGAGAAAGATCTCCAGAATACAATCCACTGATTCATGTTACAGCTAATTTTAAGATGAGTCGCTCAGAAACCGTATGATGCCCGTGGTATCTGTCATCTCGAAATAGGCTTTAAGCTCAAAGATTTAAGCATAGCATTTTTACTAATGCATTTAAAATTATGGACAGTTTAAAGGACATTACATAAGTTGCAAATCTACATTATTTTGGTGATTTTATTTCGGTTTCATTTCTTTAAGGTTGTGGCAGTATTTTCGATTTACAATAATCAAAGATAGATATACTTTTTTGGTTCATTAAGAAGATCAGCAGGTGATGTCTTGTAAAATTCCTGTCTAAGTGCTAAAAAACATTGCCTTTTTTTAATTTACATACTTTAAAGTTTCAAATTATTTTACATATCATAATTGTATTTATTAGGAAGAAATGTATGGCTACAATTAATCTGATTTTTTTTCGTAAAATTACGTCAATTACTCGAAGCACCTGAACAAAGTTGGAACAGTGTGTGGTTTCGACAGCGATGGTGACGTATTGGTCAAATTTGGAGACAGCAGTGCATATCACTTTAACCCGGAAGCGTTATCTAAGGTAAATGTAACAGTAAAATTTATAAAAAAGATCTATCTATCTATCTATCTATCTATCTATCTATCTATCTATCTATCTATCTATCTATCTATCTATCTATCTATCTATCTATCTATCTATCTATCTATCTATCTATCTATCTATCTATCTATCTATC